TGATCTCGTGAACCGCGGCCGAGGAAGAACGGGAATGTCATCTCAGTAATCTTGTGTTTCAGGCCATCACGTTGCTGGGATGTCGAGAGGTGGGGGCTGGGTTACTGTGGTGATGCGATATAGGGTGATGGAATGGGATAGGAGGGAAATGGACTTGAGGAAGCGAGGCGGGAATTGTGGCTTGACACATTGCTAGGAATCCGTGCCAGAGAAGATATTGGTCAGATATAGGCATGTCCATCACCTTTCATATGTAACAATACAGCACAGGAGCTGCGAGAAGCGAATATGTCTCCTCAGCAGAAGACATTGAAGGATACCAACATCACACATACTCAACAACCTGCATATGTTTACGCCTCGGATTTCGGACTCTATATCTCCACAGCTCTCCCGTTGTGCAATTTCCCATTTTGTAATTAGCAAGCATCTTAGATCTTCGGCGTCGCCGTAAAGATCGTTATGAGATTTGGGATGAAGTTTCTGGTAACTGTTCAATGCCATACACATACCAGTAGGGCATGGTATCTGATGCTCTGCCGAGATAATTTACGAGAACTTAGGGATGCCACGAAAATCACGTTGTGTAACGGTGTTCAATGCTTAACCTTCCCGCGGAGCAGGCAGCGCGTCTTTTTCGCGCTAAGTGCCATTCTTAGCGCGTGACGTCAGGGTTTACTGCAACACCATCTCTCATCATCGCTTCATGCTGTCTCTGCATCAACATTCATCGATACGGCATCAACATTCATCGATACGGCATCAATACATCAAGTGCCCAATACCGCCAATATGAAAGTCCCATGCGCTCAAGCAGTTGGCCTTCACTTGGGGCGCGTGGCAGCGCGACGGTCCGAGCCAAGAGCGCACACACATTCTCCACCGTTGCTTCCGGAAATGTGATCGCGGGAAGCAATCAAGCCGCCATTTTGCTCGATACGAGCGGTATCGCAGTATTGAGATCTATATTACGCTCTCGGTATGGCGATTAACAGTTGAAGCAATTGATGGAGAGGATGAACTGTTGATGGCACATCATCGCGATTGCAGCCTGCGTTGAACAAGGGTATCATTTACTGACACTGGAAAACTACCTAAAGTTAATTCGTCGCTTCGAGCATATAAGAATCCTGATACTTTACCTCGAGATCCCTTTCGATCACGAAGTCGAAAGTGCTGCGGGCATAGTCACATCGTTTGTGAGAAGTGCGCATCTGGAAGCTGACTTCGTGAGTGGTGTGATATTCTATATACTGATTCTGCCAATCTGGTCTTTCCGGGTTCTCTGCATTATCGTCTTCGTGCACATGACAACTTCACCTTCAGTAGCAGATTGCACACTGTACGGTTCCAACACCTCTATCAGCATCTTTGGCGACACCCTCACCGCTTTATTCTTATATTACCATCATACGTCTTCAGCACGATAACTTGGATGGGCTTCTAACTCACCTGCTACTTAAATGCAGACCTACAAAAGGATCTTTGTACCTTTCGACCTACCATAATCCCTAACCTCACTTCCGCCGTCGAGAAAGTCAACCTTCCTTGACCTGTATCTCGAGTAGCAGCCTCATAACAGCCTATTGCCAGCCCCATCAAGATACAAAAGCACGATGACAACCTCAACTTCCGTTACTGGCAGCATGGCCGACCCTTTCACGTCGACCGCAGCGCCAGACCCACCACCCAAATGTACCGTCTGCAAGAGCGATCTTACGATCAGAGACAAGCAGAAGACCACGAAAAATTACTGGAAGAATTGTCAAAGCTGTCGAGATAAGATGAAAACGGCTGCGACGAACCGGAAGCGGCTGCTGACGCCAGCCTCATCCACGATTGACGTCGCCCCAGATACACCCGCGAAGAAACGGAGGAAGAATCCAGCAAAAGCAGCCGAGCCGAAAGAAAAGTTCTGCAGGTTTCCCAGGAAGTCCGTCCCGAAGAAATCGCCGCCACAGAACATCATCGCATCAGACGAAGACCTGAGTCCAAAGTATAGGTCGGAACTTGAAGCCATGAGAAAAGCACTTCAATCCGAACATGAGAAAAGAGACAAGGGGAATGAGAAAAGGGAGATACATGTCGAAGAGATTTGGGACGAGCCTCATAACTCCACCCTCTCAGAGCGGCCGGATGAGAAGGAGTGCAGTTCCTGCGCGGACTTTGTCTTGGCAGAACGCTTTCCAAGCCTTGAAGGCTGCGATCACGACGATAACGTCTGTCAGGAATGCTTGGTTCAGTGGATGAATCAGCGGTTGGCAAGCGCGGAAAACGTCACTTGTCCGTCCAGTGGTTGCACCAACGCAGTGACATATGCAGATGTTCGCAAATTCGCGCCCCGAGACGTGTTTACCCGGTAAGATTCTCCAACACTAATAGTCATTACAACTATCAATTCCACGCTTGCTTACGTTATTGAACAGGTTCGACGAGCTCTCGATGCAAAGCTACCTCAGCGCTGACAAAAGCTTTCTCTATTGTCTCGCTGAAGGCTGCCCATCGGGCCAGATCCACGATACCGGGGTAGAAGGCCCGATCTTCCGTTGCGCCGCTTGCGGATTTCGCATGTGCACTGCCCACAATCCCGTCATACCATTTCACGAGAATGAAGTATGCACGCAATACACTGAGCGAATTGAACGCGAAAGAGTCGAACGCGAGGCACGAGACGAACAGGCACGCATCAGGAGAGAGCAAGAAGAAGCAAGTGTCGCCGAAGTTGGAAGATCTTCAGTAGAGTGTCCGGGCTGTGGAGCACAGATTGAGAAAACGGAGGGATGTGATCATATGACTTGTAAGTTTTGTTCTTGTCAAATGCTCCTTAACTGATACTGACTTGAACAGGTCGCCGTAAGGGATGCAAGTTCCAATTCTGTTACCTTTGTCGAGCTCCATATAACGGTGCGCAAGGCATCAACAGGATTGGTAATTCAGCGCATGCTGAGAGTTGTTCACACCACTCCGGGAAGCTTCCAGCTCACCCCGGAAATATCTGACTGTGTTTTGAGAGATGCGGGACTTTCATTTCTGCAGAGGTGCACAGGCTCGACTAGAGTACCCTTCATAACAACTTTTCATTTGGTGCAGTGGATGCAAAGGACTGAGAGAACACGAGCATGGTTGGCTCACAATTTGTGTGGACGCTATACAATACGGTCTTACATTATTGGATGGCTCTTCTTTTTCTGTTAGGGTAAGGGTCCAAATCATCCGTGCGATGCTAGTCATAAGGACTTCCTGAGACTGTCCCGGGTTTTATTGAAGGACGAATAGTTTTCTGCACGGTTACAAGGGCAACCGGGAAGTTAGCAACCACAGATTCATCATGACTTTCAATATTCAGCTGGTACCACGCACTATGTCCTTGCATTCCTACACTGGATCGCGGATTTCTCAGTCGCATTACCCGCGAGACACTTCTCAATCTCCGACACAACATTAGCAAGATGACTGCAAGAGTCAGTCAGCGGTTCACTCGCTAGCGCAGTTACGACAAGACCAAGCGCAACACTCACAAGCTCGTCAAGGTAACCAGCGCTTGGGCTTCTCTCGGGTTCGCACTATGTACGACTTCAAGCCTCTCGACCAGCTATGTACCGCGTGTGAAGATACACCCCCATCGGAGGACGTCACCCGCTTACGGGAGTGTGAGTATTACCCTGGCGTATTTCGGAGCGGCATCGACAAATAGCTGGACAGCGATGTGGATAACACGACTATCGCTCATAATCCTTGTCCTTCAACACAGTGTTTTGCGGTGTTTGAAGTGAAAAATGTCGATAATTTCGCGTTCGCTGAACTGTTTCATCGGCACGCCTTCCCATTTTCGACTTACTTGCCGTTATCGATGTGTGTAGCTACGAGAAACTGATTCTTCAAACATTGCTCCTCGACCTCCCAACCTCCGCTATCGCATCCGGTCAGGTACCTTTGAGCTACATGACGTTAGAGATAGCAAGATCTTTATCTGCAACCTGCGGCCTTGGAAGCTGCGTACACAATAACTCTGCTTTCCACTCTGGCGAGCCACACGACTCCCAGAAGGTCAGCGAGACTTTAGGATTCTTAAACATCAACAAGGCTACCATGGATGTGAACAATGAGATAAGGGGGACGGCGATTTACTTGGAGGCTGTAGCTTCATCGTTCGAAGAGGTTGAGCGAGAAATCATACTTTTCATTCAGGTTTTAGTCACGCGATATGGTGGGTTTCAGCCGTCGCCAGTATGCGAGCTGTGGAGAGCAAGTCAAGCTATCAGTCATTCGATTGATCCAGGGTAGCTATTGGATCGGCTGAAGATTGAGCTAAAGTCATAGACCTCAACCCCGCTTAAGGGCCCAAAGATCACAAAGTGAGCCCAGTAATGTTGATTCACACGTCCTCCCGGGTCATGACTGCAGCGCACCAGCCACAACTCGGGCGGTATGCCACTGACAATGGTTACACGAAGGGTCACAGTATAATATAAAAGGTACACGCGTGCACTATATCTGCTGTACCAAGGACCTTCATACTGGCGAGACTTGACGCTGGCAGTTACAGTCTAAGCCTCACATTACCTCAATCTAAAAATACACAGGTATCTCTTAATCCACCAACAAAAGAAATCATTATGTCCAGTTTATAACGTGAGAAACCCGAAGCGGTGCGTTGGTTCCTTTGAATCAACGTCATCAAATACGGTCGACCATTGGCCCTAACCTCGAGGACTCAAGTTGTGACAACATTCGGAGGTTTCCAGAGCATGATTACAACATGTTGTGACTATGTCGCGACAGTCACACGTATTCGCGGAGTCATGGTGTAGTATAAATCGAGGTTTCAGGACTATTCTCCTTCGGTATCAAGCCTCTATATCAATTCACATCGATACATCGATCCTTACACGCTGTATTCAGTGGCAGCCATAAGACAATCTCAGCGATTTACTCCCCGTCCCTCGAATAATTCGGATACAAGATACCTAGGGACCCTCAAACCAAAACAAATCCCCAAAATGCCTTCAGGATCAAACAGTTACCGCAACCCCGACAATAAGAAGATGTCCGAAGAAGAACAAAATATTAGCTCAAGCTACAGCTACAGCACAGCACTACACGCCTATCGCCCTAAGGCGCCAGGCAATGACGCCGAAGCTTCCAACGCAAAAGGAGCAGGAGGTGGAGAGAGCGGCCAGAGTGCAGCATCAGAGGGCAAGAGCTCACTCAAGTTTATGGCCACGCCGGTGCCGAAAGATACAAGTGACGGAGCAGAGAAACGTAAGATGGTCACAGTGACATTGAAGCCTAAGGTCAAGGGAAAAGATACCAAGGACGAGGGGGGTAGTCCACAGGAGAATTGACCGAGAACAAGATTTTGTGGATACCAGAAATGAGATTGTCGAGATAGATGAGCAGGACGAAAAGGAAACGTCGGATTTGAAGCTACTGTACCAGCAACAGTAAGACTATTGCATAGATCCAATCTCAAACGGTGTTTCTAGTTGGTCATTGTAATGCAAGCGCAAGTTCTAGGGATACCGTATCTTTGAGATGTTAAACATCATCCGCAAGCGCTTTTCCATCCATGACATGCGGGGGGTACGTAGGTAAGGGTGCCTTTACAACTTCAACTTCGGATTCGAGAGGCTGTGCTGCACGTGCGGTATTATGCGAAATTGCTGGCATGGTTGTGTACGAACGTATAGCCGTTGACTTCATGTAGCGTCTACGAATAACTTGACGAAAGGCTCACGTCGTGTGTTCCTGACAATCACCTAGTGTTGAAGCTTTCGAAGGGTGACGGCCAGTGTCCCGTTGCGAGAGAAATGGAGATGCGACGATGCCTAAACACGCATCGAGCGTTGACATGAGTTATAGAGTCACGTAGAGCCTATGACGAGGCTATACAGATGAGGGGATGAGCGACGAATTGCTGCAGTGTGTGCAAATGATGTAAGTGGTGTAGTAGATGGTACCTGTAAACGACAAAGAAGGTGATGATGCCAAGATTGACTGGCCTTGGTGGGGCTCAACAGCGTCACGCGTCGCGGCGCGTTCTTCAGCACCAAGCCCGCCTTCCACACCTCACGCAGCTGTGTACACATTGCGACATCTCAGCTAATACTCTCTGGTCTTGCGATACGCTACCTCCGGAGACGCAACACATAGTTGGTCCGCTAGTCTTCCGCCGGCTTCCAAGGTTCTTCCGGACGCGACGCTCCAAATCACGCAAAATGCTATGCACACGCCGTAGCAGTCTGCATGGCGCGCCTAACACGGAACTTCGAGAGATTACGCGACTCTTGAAACGACAAAGTCGCAGTCGTATGCCACACGATGCCATATGTTATATTTCAGACAGGCTGGTCTGTCGACAGCAGCAGCCCCACACGTCAAACGCGTAACGTCCTACAACATCTGACCCGATTATATTGCGCACCAGCTACCCTACTGGGTCAGAGATCTTCTTGTCATTCATGGTAATGATTCATTATGCTACTGTCCTAATGTTAACACCATAGCGTAACAGGCCCACGAATAACCTCCGGCAAACCTCGAGATATCCAAATCCCCACCGTCTCGATGCGCGACACCCAACCGAAGTCGCTACTCAAACTGGCGTATGCGATCGATATCCTTTCCGCGATACAGTCACCTTCATGCAAATCCGCGCGATACTGCCTTGGTTACGGGCCAACGGAATGAACAACACTATGGCTGGGCCGACCCAAGATGCACATCAACATCTAGGCCAAAGGATAGAGACTAGTCAATACCCATATTAGGCACTGTACTTTTGGATCACAGCGTGCCTGATATGCACGAAATACCCAGGGTGTCTGGACATAGATATTTCACCCAAGTGGTGTAGGGATGTAGTGGAAAAGGCCGACTACACAAGCTTGAATCAAACACCACTATGCGCATCCGTCCAAAATCACCACATAACTCAGCCAACGCCACCCTAGTACTCCGGCCATTGCTACTGCATCTCGGCTTCTTTGAGGATATGCAGACAGTTTAACGCTCATCCGAAAGGAGATCAACAATACTCATCTACGATCCTCCATCGTATGTGTTTAGAACGTGAACAAAGCCAGAGGCCACATGAGGTAAACAGCGGGTAAGACCGTGAAGCAATGATTGAGTAAATAGTTGGTACCCTTTGTGGGCTTGATGTCTGCACGCAGCCTCACGTTGGCATTTGTTGGTTTGTTCCTTTGTTACTCATCATTGACCCCAACGGCAGAAGACATGCACAAAGCAGGTACAGCGCAACATGTGCCGAAGGCTCATGTTTGATTCCATAGATATGGGAAACTGTATAGAAGCTGATGGAGATTCAAGATGCGAACTCTCAATAGCTAGATGCACCCTACAAAGCCACTTCTGGACTACACTATAGCTTCAGAAGTCTTAAAACACCTTACACGTCATCATGACGAAAGGACCACCATACAAAACCGGGCAACCTTACTTTAAGAGGACTTTCGAGAAATGGTGTCGGACTCACCGACCAGGATGGTCAAGGGGTAAGCCTTCCAAGATGGGCATGCTGAGATGGTAGCTTACTCTATTAGATGATGTTAGATTGACTGCTCAGACCTTGTGGCATGGAGACATGGTCATTCAAAACTATTTCCTTCGAAGAGTCGGGAAGAGGTTTGAGTATCCTATGCAGCAACAACATCAGGTGCCAGCCGCACCATGGACCCAAAATGATGTAAACTTAGCAAGAGCAACTAGGCAGCTACCTGGTGCTGCGCCTCCTGTCATTGCAGCTCCTGTCATTGCAGCTCCTGTCATTGCAGCTCCTGTCATTGCAGCTCCTGTCATTGCAGCTCCTCTGGCAGCTCCTCTGGCAGCTCATCCGGCAGCTCATCCGGCAGCTCCTCCAGTTCAACCCTACCCTTGCAGCTTTTGGCCCAACAGGCCGTGGCATGCAGATCCAGAAGACGCTTCTATCGGTCCGGAAATTACGATCGAGGCCATCAAGGATGACGTGTTTGAGGAGAGCCCTAGAGCAGACTGGATGGCTACAAAGCCATTCTTTTGGCCAATCCAAGATGAGCAAAACTGGGAGAACAAGAGGTTTCTCGGCGCTGGGGCCTCTGGCTGTGCGGGATTGTGGTGTCAAAGTGATGCCCAAGGTAACATATCAAGGGTATGTGACTTCAGGCATATGATCATTACTCAGGTTTGAGAGAGCGTGCTGACAAAGAACAGCGGATGGTTATCAAGGAAGCGAGGCCTGACAAGATCCAATGGCGTGACCCTTGCTTTTGGCGAGATCAGTTGCCGTGCGAGATCCACATGCACCAGCTAGTCGACAACGGTCGTGGGGTATCTGATAGCGACGATGAGCCCGCTGGTTCTGATCATGAAACTCTGGTCAGACATCATGGTTACCGCTTGATGATGACCCAGCGGCGTTATCGCATCTTCTTCGACTACTACGAAGGCGGCAATCTTTGGCAGGCTTTAGAAAAGCACTGCAGCAGAATGAAGAACACATTCTATACCCAAGGCGAGGAGCCAGGGCTTGATCATGACTGGGATGAGGAGTTCGGTTGCTACCGTGACTCAGAAGCGGTGCCCGGCGAGGCGGGATTGTGTGTGAAGATATCCGAAGGCCTTATCTGGAGAATTGCTAGCTCGCTCGTTCAAGCGTGTCAGATCCTGCATTTCGGCCAGGTCAGTATTGGAGGTGTGCAGAACACCACACCTGAGTGGAAACCGATCAAACACTGCGATATAAGACTTGACAACATCTTCATCAAGCCAGCGGATGAGGAGAACGAGGTCTGTGATCAATCTCCGCAGGATACGTTGGAGATCGTGTGCGCTAACCGGCCCAGTACCCAATATTCGTCTTGGCAGACTTCGGCCTCTCGTTTACGGACATGGGTGCTCCTGGAACTGACAACCCATATGAGTATGTCAGGGAAATGACAGACGAACGATTTGCGCCTGTGAGTAACAAGGCTACAATCCGTATGTTTTTACAAAGTTAATTAGATGCAGGAACACCAGTTTGTAGTCAACGACGCAGCAGAAAGCGCTGGGGTAGTACCCCTAGACGAAAAGACAGATGTATGGCAGATGTACGTACACCACCATAGAATACCCGTTCGAATTTTACTAACTACAACCCTAGTGGTGCAGTACTTTACTCATTACTCAGTAATGGTTTCTTCCCCCCTCTCGGCCAAGGGCCATATCGCTTTGTCGAGAAAATTGACGCAACTGTACCTTTCGCCCTCGAACATGGCGAACTGAGAACCATCGTCGACCCAGAGGATGACCCATGGAATGACATGCGTTTCTTTCCTACTTTCAAACGTTACAGCGAGGATCTGAAGCGGTTGGCGTTCGAGTGTCTGGCATGGCATTCGAGTGAACGACCGACGTTATTGGAGATGGGAAATAGGATCGATGATTTCCTTACGACGCACCCGAATGTTGCGAATGATCGGAATATGGAATCGCTAGAGGTCGTTCGAGATTTGGAATTCGCGATTGGGCAACCTATGAATTAGACCCGGCTTTAGTCTTGGCAGATCGATGCGCGACTTTGAAATCTGTACGCGCCCATAGCTATGGCAACGGCTTCACAATATCCACTAACCTATCCGTAGATACGTGCTTGTATCCATGTCTTTGTCCTTCCGCATTAGCCATCTCCCGGCGTCGGCATAAGTGCCGCAACAAGAAGTTTGCATCTCTTTGTTCGGCTGTTGTAGTCCTGAACGCACCTTGCCGATATAGCCTTTTGGGAAACAAATCGAATGACAAGTTGTTTTAGCACATCCACCAATGCCACGGAAGTCACCACCCTATAAATCCGGTCTGCCCTACTTCAAACGCGACTGCGAAGCCTACTTCCCCACCAATGCCTTGACCGTCACATGGAGCCGCGCCGAGCAAAACAACACGGTCAACACATTATGGTATGGTAGTCGAATTATCCGCGATTACTACAACGCGCGGATCGGGCGACGAGAATTATTTGGTCTACCAACACCAAACCCTTTACCAGATAACCCGTTCAATGCGAGCGACGTCACGTTTGCGCGCGCAAATAAGAGTATGCCGCCGTATCGTGATGGATCAGGAGGAACGGAGCCGGCGTGGGTGAATGCTCCAGCGGGTTTCGGCGCGCTTGCGATGACTGTGCCACCGCCCGCTGTGGTCGTTGCTGGCCCTGTTACAGTGCCTGTTCATACCGTTACAGTAGCGCCACCACGGCCGGTAAATCGATATCCCTTCGACTTCTGGCCACCTAAGCCGTGGGATGCGGAGCCAGATGATGCGACCTTAGGCATGACCATTAAAGCCATCAAGTCTAAAGAAGAGCCCGAGAACGGTGAAAAGTGGATGGATGATACCCATGATCCATATAGCGACGGAAGAAGGTGGATAGGCGGGAAGTTTCTAGGTGCAGGCACTTTTGGATGTGCAGGTTTGTGGTGCGCAGTCGACGACCACAACATCGTGACGGCCAGAATGGTCGTTAAAGAAGTCCGCCCACACAACTGGAAATGGCGGGATCCAGCGTATTGGAGAGATTATCTTCCGCGTGAAATTCGCATACATGAGCGTATTGACGCGAATCGACCCGCCGCTGGCGCTGATACCTCAGGCTATGATAACTTGTTGAGGCATTTAGGGTACAGATTGATGATGCAGCAGCGCCGCTTCAAACTGTACCTGGACTTCTGTGAAGGTGGCGATTTATTCCAGGGATTGAAAGAGCACTTTGACCGATGGAAAAGAGGACAAGCGACGGATAAAATTGAGCGACTCAAAGTCGTACCAGAGAGCTTGGTCTGGCATGTACTGTCGCAGCTTGTTGATGCATGCCTGGTCCTCCAAACGGGATCGAAAGATCCCGCGACAGCGGAGTCGGCTTGGCCACCAATCACGCATCTCGATATCTCGTTGAGCAACATCTTCCTGGAGCCAGCGGCTGACGATGCTTATCCAAACTGTGTCTTGAGCGACTTTGGTATGGCAATGTATGATCTGGAGCAGAGTGATCCCGCAGTGAGACCCTCAGACAACCCTCAGGAGTACGTGCTCGGCCACACCAGTTTCAAGTACCCTCCCGTAAGTCAAATCTGTTCGGTATCGAGACACCCAGAATAACTCGTGCTAATCGCATCAGGAGCAACAACTTGCACGAGGCACTCCGCCTGACTTGACACCTTTGAATGAGAAGTCAGATGTTTGGAGCATCGGAGCCGCAGTCTGGTATATGATTGCGAATCGCTCGGTCGCTGGTCCACAGCGCGAACTGCATTACTCGGAGGATATGCCGCAAAACGTGAACATTGGCGAAGCGGATCATGGGCGACTAGACGAGCCCGGGGCGAAACCGTTTGAAGGTTTGGGCTTTCCGGCACTGAGCAAATACTCGGAAGAGCTGAGGTCGTTGGTTGCGCGCTGCATGAACTGGGAGCAAGAGCATCGGCCAGATCTAGCAACATTGAGGGCCAAGATCAATGCGTATCTGGCAAGCCACCCGAAAGTAAGGGATAGCAGGGACTTTGGACCGCTGAGAATGTCGAACCTCGAACAAGGGCTGGGAATTGGAGATACATTTGCAAGAAAGAGGAGGAAACCGATCGCAGGAAAGCAACCCCGTAAAAAGCAAAAGGGAGACGAAGAGGACAGTGAAGAGTAGCTCGAAGTCGTTGAATGCGAGTTTCGCTCTAAATGACTCGGTCGTCCAGCGGGACTAGACTGTCTTTCGCAGGCAAACTTGGAGTGTTTTCGATAGCACTTTGTCCATCTTCCCTTTGCCTGCGCTTTCCAGCCCCCCGTCCGGCCTGTTATCGTTGCTGAATTCTGGTTTTGCATGCATGTTCGAATCGACCTCCGGCTGACTGTACACGAGTGCCTGCAACGAGCGTTTCTTCAGGTCCAAGCTCGCCTCTGTTCCCGTCTTCGTCCTTGCTTGAGTGTTCGTCTTCGCCGTGGTCCGAGAGTGCTTGTGCGATCGACCTCAGCAGGCTGCTTACAGCCCAAAGGCATCACGCAGCTGCTGGTGTGTGGGATTTGTAGGTTATGGGGCTCGGATTGGTAGGCCGTGGCCTGTCAGACGGTTGGGATAGATTCTCGGATCGTGTTCTTTAACGTTGCCGCTTCCATGCTGCCACGCGGTGATATCATCTGCTTTAAAAGTAGCTGTCATGGCCTTAACACGCCCTTACCATCGTGAGTCTGTTCTCGCGTGAAGTAGGTGATCAGCTGTAGCTACACATAGCTTTCGAGATCGTCAAATAATCCGAGTCTATTGCTGGAATAGAGACAACGCGGACACGGATCTAAATCGCTACGAAGGCCACGGGCCATTGAGGGGAGAATTGGAACGCGTTGTGTGCTAGGTGTGGGCCGTACTTGAAGTGAAGATAGTTGGGCATGGTAGTCGACCTCGGAATGTGACATCAGGGAAAGACGCGGTGGAACGTGCACGCTTATCTTATCCGACAGCGGTGGTGGAGTACGACCAAGCCACTAGGTACGAATACCGCAACAAACAAACACCTCTGCATCATTCAAGGGCATTGACGGAAAATGCGAAACGGGTGTCATGCAGTGATCCTTTTCCTCAGCCACTACCGGCATCGATTTTTGACAATACTTAGGTAATCTCACTCCTCATCCTACCCTTCACTTTGTCATTGCACAACTGATCTCTTACTTCGTTGACCATCGCTTTACCTCACAACTTGAAGCTGTTCTGCACCAGCTTCTCACTCAAGGCCCACAGTCGATCGGCCAACTTAGGATCAGTCGCGTATGGCATCGCATCACACATCTGACAGTCAGACAGCATGATACCCTTTGATTCTGATACGTTGTCAGTATTGACTTGTGCCGACTGAACCTTTACTTACCATCTAAAGCTGGGTCTAGCGCCGCAACCAGTACCGTTGCGGCACCTTGATCAAGGTTCTTCCAGAATGGACTTACACTTCGAATCGCAGCCTCGCCATCCGCGTCCAGGTTTCGACTGAGACCAGTCCAGATTGCTAAACTCATTAGCGATTCTGAAACCACGCACTCAAAAGGCTTGCGCGGCGGGGTACTCACATCCGGGATGCACAGCATAACTTCTCACACCCTTTCCTCTGTATTTCTCGTTCAAACCCACTGAGAACAGCATGTTCGCCGTCTTCGCCTGTCCATAGGCCAGCCATCCGTTGTAACCATCATCTGCGCCCTTCGCAAACTTTGGAGGAAGTTGCGCATGCCTCTCTTCTTCGGGTATCTCGTCTTTGCTCTTCTCCCAGTTGTAATCAGAGAATCGAACAGGGCTCAACCGATGACCAGCAGAAGTGAGGTTGATGACGCGGGTGGCACCTTCATCTGAAGAGGAAGCAGAAGCCAGAAGTTGATGCATGAGCAGGTTGGTCAAGAGGAAATGGCCAATATGGTTGGCGCCAAATTGACCTTCGAGGCCTTCTTTGGTAGTTTGACGCGCCGTTGTCATGATACCAGCATTGTTGATGATCAGATCCAAGCGGCTCGTCAATTGCGACACTTCTTTTGCAGCAGTCTTGACAGATTCTTGAGACATCAAGTCAAGAAGGACTACTTTGACTAAGACGTCTGGATAGACATCCTGGGTGCTCTTTACGACCTCTTCTAGTTTGGACTTGGTGCGTGAGGCGAAAACGAGGAGCGCTGGATTTTGGGAGGCGATCGAGAGGGCTATGGACGAGCCGATGCTTTCAGGGGATACACCGGTGATGAGCACTTGTTCAAGTCAACTTTGCTTTCAACAGCGTGAACATGTTGACGTCCTACCATTCTTGCCATGAATCTGCTCGGCAAAAGCTTTCGCGACTTCAAGACCGCCCGTCTTCTCATTCCATTCAGGATGAGTCAGAGTCGACATTTTGGCTCTTGATATGTTCAAGAAGTAACAGTCTGAGTCTTAGAATCTTATCAGGGGGAGTGCGTAAGTCTCGCTCTTGCTCTCCCTGGGACTGAGCTCGTCTACCACAGCGACTTCATCCGTAAGCATTGAGACTGCACGCGCATTTCCTCCCATGTCCACAGCATCTGTGTCGCCTTCGGGACAGCATGCGCTGGAAATGGACAAGTGCAGTTGAGGTGAAAGTTGCGGGGTAGGTACAAGGCGGGGAAGGTTAGCACCATGTGGGGCAGCTACAACCTATACTTCGCGTCCCCAATGACCTCGCATCACGCGTCAACATCCTTTAACCGGCAGATACGGCGATCCACATCGCAATGATACGACTCCACCCCACGGAGGGGACATGCCGGAAGAAGCGTCCAGCACCTGCAGGCCCTCAGCGCCACGACTCGCGCTTGCAACCTCGGTCGTCGGTTCCATCTCGCCTGGTTGAAGTTACTGAGAAGGATGGGTACATGGCCATATCATCGGTAGATGCAGGGTTGCTGAGCCCCACGCTCACAAGCAATTACCTGGTCGATGCGTCTGGATACCTGGGACCTCTTCTCGCATCGAATCGCGTTGTGTTACCTTATTCCGCCCAGTCGTGAAGCTTGATTGAAGTCGCGCATGCCACTCCGTGCGAGAATAGACGAGACCAACCTCCCCAAGATGTCTTCTTTAGAGACCAACGACAACGGCCCAGTCACTAATGGCGCAAAGCCACAGACGGGCATCAAAGTCATTATTATCGGCGCAGGTACGTCCTTAGCAGTCCGTGCCACAGCCCCGTTCTAACACACATCACCAGGTTTCGGCGGCCTTACAGCAGCCATAGAATGCATCCGCCACGGCCACACACCCGTCATCTACGAATCCTTCCCCTCGCTCAAGATCCTCGGCGACATAATAACCTTCGGTCCCAACGCCGGGCGCATCTTTGCGCGTTGGAGTGATGGACGCGTCGCGCGCGACATGCGTAAGATCTCGATCGATCTCACCGAATACGGCTTCAACATCCACAAATGGGACACTGGCGAGATTGTCATAAACCAGAAGACACCACCACGCGACGAGAAGGCGCCGAACTTCAACGGGCACCGCGGTGAACTACACGAGATTGTGTTCAACTATGCCAAGGAGATTGGCGTCGAGATCAATTTGGGACAACGAGTGGAGAAATACTGGGAGGATGAGAAGGAGGCGGGCATCGTGCTAGAAGATGGCACGCGCGTTGCTGGCGATCTCGTGGTTGCAAGTGATGGTGTGCGAAGCAAGGCGAGAACCCTAGTGTTGGGATATGAAGACAAGCCAAAGAGCAGTGGTTACGCTGTCTGGCGAGCATGGTTCACCAATAAAGACATGATCGCAGACCCGGAGACGAAGCAATTCTGCGAAAACGGCGATTCCTTTAACGGATGGATCGGTAGGCCTTCTTCGACTCTGAAGACTAATCGTACGCTAACACTCCCAAGGCCCAGATGTACACTTCCTATTCAGCACCATCAAGAACGGCACCGACTGCTGTTGGGTGCTTACCCACCGTGACGACCACGACATCGACGAATCCTGGTCCTTCCCCGGCTACCTCAAAGACGTCAAGACTGTGTTGGACGGCTGGGATCCAATGTGCTGGAAAATCGTTTCCAAGACACCGGAAGAGAAACTCGTTGACTGGAAACTCGTATACCGGGACCCGTTGCCCAACTGGGTTTCAGGCTATGGCTCCGCGCCAGGTCACGGTCGGATATGCTTGCTAGGCGACGCAGCGCATCCCTTCCTTCCAACAAGTGCGCAAGGCGCGACGCAAGCACTCGAAGATGGTGTCACACTCGCCGTGTTGCTACGAAAAGCTGGAAAGGATAACGTACGAGGCGCGTTACGAGCGTACCAGGATATACGCTACGATCGCGTCAAGGCTGTGCAGAAAACGGGTGAGACGACGAGGGACATGTGGCACAAGACAGACTGGGAGAAGGTGAAGAAGGACCCGACACTGATTCAGTTCCCAAGAGAGGATTGGGTATTCCACCATGATGCTGAGAAGCATGCGGAGGAACTGGGGGATGAGTCGATCAAGAAGGCTAGTGCTGTTGCTACGTAGATAAATCGAGCGGAATCCTCACAAGGATACACCCAACAAGATTTTAAAGCTCATTGAAAATGCTTCACGATGTGTCTGTGGCAAATGGTGTCAGGCTCTTATGATGTCTCCGAAAAAGTGCACAGCTCAGAGGCACGTAAGCCACGTCCAGCCTTGCGTCAGTTCGATAGTAACACCGGGACACATCAGCAATGACATCGAAGCAGAAAACGCGTAGTAGAAGGAGCAAGAAAATCGATTGATCCCAAGAGCAAAGCCTAACTATATGTGCGAGCCAGAGGCGTCAAGCGACGATATCTCCTTACAAATGGATCCACTCGTTGCAGCAAGTCATAGCTCAGCCACTCTTCTCCGCACCGACAACCTCGTGGTGCACAACCTCATCCTTGTCGCTATCACGCCTCTCGATCTTGTCGTCAACACCAGCTGCAACACGGCCAGTACAGACGTACTTTCTGAACTTGCGCGCCGGAAGCCTAGCCTCAAACATCTCATCAATCTCTTCGAGAGTGCGGTTCTTGATCTCGGGCAGGTAGAAGTATACCCATGCTGCTGTGATGAAGCAAGATGGTCCCCAGATCCAGCCTACATATGATGTTAGTATGGGGTTGAGTTGTAGAGAGGGGAAGCTGGAGGTCTTACCATATTCAGGGCCCCAATTGAGAGAATCGGGGTTGATGAAGTATGGTGCAGTGAAGGTGGTGAGCCAAGCACCTGCGAAAGCGACTGCCGATGCGATACCAAACGTGTATGAGCGCAGGCGCTGCGATGGGATTTCTCCGCCAGAAAGCCAGGCGTAAGCAGCGATCATACCGTTGTAACCGATGATGTAAATGACTGAGAGACCGACAATAGCCTTGGATAGGTCAGTAAGAACCTCGCATAGGCCATAAAATGAAGATAAACCTACCTTTCCAGTGCTTGTCGTGCCAGGGTTGACGTGGTAGACAGCCGCGATGATAAGTTGCGTAACACCACAGATAGAAAGACCAGTCATGAGGAAAACGCGACGGCGACCGATCTTCGAGATAACGCTGCTGTTGATCATAACTACAACGACACCGACGGCGGTCAAGATGCACGAGTTCATGAAGGGGCTACCAACATTCGCCATCTTGTTCAATGTTAGTCCAGTTCACTCAGAAGAATGGGAGCGGTGTACTCACCTGGAAGAAGTACGTTCCGTACGCAATTACAAACATGGCACCCGAAGCAGCCTGAGTCGATACCGCAGCAATAGCCAACAGCGTGCGCCTACGATCAACAGGATCTTTCCAGATGTCCAGGAAGTTCGCGCTCGACTTGACAGCCTTTTCAGCATCAATCGCCGCTTGGATCTCTGCTACTTCGCCGGGAACGCTTTCGGGATGAGGACGCATCCACAGGAGCGCCTTCTCGGCTTGCGCTGGCTTTTCGACTAGAATCAGCCAACGTGGCGATTCGGGAATGAAGAACAGGCCAAGAGACATGAGAACCGGGACGATGAAGATCATTCCAAGTGGGATGATATACGAGTTCCGACCGTTCATATCGTGTGTTGCGTTGTCGATCACAGTGCCGATGAGTGTGCCCACCGAAGTCCAGATCTGGAAAACGGATATCATGAGACCGCGGTATCGAGCTGGGGCAGATTCCTGGTCGTAGGTCAGTGATGTAACGGACGAAGGAATGGGAACACGGACCTGGATATAAAGCTGCGAAAAGGTCATATACCACCCATTTGCAATACCAATCAAGAGTCGTCCAGAATACAATCCCGCAATGTTGGTCGTAGTCATCATGACAATGTTCGCAACGCAGCAAAGCGCACTGGCCATCCAGAGACATTGGCGCCTCCCCAGCTTCTTCGCGAAGACACCAGCGAACATTGAGCTGATAAAAGCACCCAGTGTCATCAAAGACGAGATGAGTTGCTGACGCTCGGGAGAGATGTTGTAGCCTATAGGCGTCATGGGATCAGGATGGCCAAAGACTTCGAGAAAGCCGCGCATGGCTTGTAGACCGCCGATAGCACCAAAGTCAATGCCGTACTGGAACGGCGACATGGAAACGAGGGTACATGCCGCGAGGCATTTCCAATTGGAAAGCAGACTGCTTGTTAGATCGGGCATTTTGGTGGTTTCCTTCTCCAAAGGTGGTGATGAAGAAATTCAAGATGATGCGGCGAGGTTTTGCTCGATGTTGCGAAGTAGGGTTAGCTTCAAGAAGCGATAAACTTTCAACTAGAGAGGCTGGCACCAGCGATCCTTCTGCCTCATAACAGGGCATCCCTTTCATCCAGACTGGCATGCAGATCTTTGTGAATGTGGTCCCACCAGCATTCTTGTCCCAATATATGCCGATAGTGCCTGGAAATGCTTAGCTTGCCCCTACCCCGGAATCCACAGGCAGCCTAAAGTGTGGAGTGCGGAGGTGGCGGTGTACCATGTACGATATCTCAGGTATTAATGCTGGTACTTCCCGTTTCCGCGTGGCGTACGAGACCAATCATCACGATGCCCGGTAGCTATTCAGAAAGGGTGACAAAACGCCCGGCAGTTTCTGCCGTTCTAGTGCTTGTCTTGCTACCCGCCATCTTTTTGGAATAGCACATGGCCAGGCTGTCGCTTCGAAACTTTATCAAGGCCGCCACGACGACCTCCCTAGAAAGATGCGACCCCAGAAAACCAACATCGCATTTACAATCAGGGAAACCCAGGGGAGTTCACAGGCTGTACGGTACTACCGTGCGGTCGGAGCGATAACGCCGTGTGACATTGGCCATGATTGTGAAGTACAGTAAAGATCTGCATGTACTAACTTTCACAGCTGTGCATAGCGAGTCAATAAACTTCATGTCCTCCACTTCGGAATCGGGAAGTGGAGAGACTCGTGCCCGCCTGAAGGATCAAAGTGTTCAAAGCAAGTGTTGCGATCCGCTGATGTGGACAGAAAATGAAGTTGATGGTTGAGAGGCGGGGAAGTCGACTGCGAAGGTGGTGGGGCACTTTCCAGATAGAACCTTGCAACTCTACAGGTATGCCGCTTACGTAGTATTAAATCTGAAGCAGCAAACAGTGTCTAAGACAACGAATTTGCCAGGCTAGACTCAGGAGTCTCTCAGACTACCCTCCTTGACCATGTCCACAACGTTCATGAAGTTATCGTACATGTAGCTACGCCGCTTCTGCCCTTGCTCATTTTCGAAGACCAACTTCCATTTATCCTCCTCATCAAAACCGTCCCAATTCACTTTTACCCAATCGTGGCAGGATGCATCAGAGTCACAGTGGTTGTTGTTGACATCTTCATGCAGTTCTGCATTGTCGTACTCCAAAACATCATCATCAAGATACCTGCCTACTATCATAGTCCTCTCATGAAAGTAGAAGTTCTCGGTCTCGTAGTAGCTTACGGCCGAATTGGCGCAAGCCCTGAAGAAAGCGCGAAGGGTATTTGGGTAATGGAAGTTCGTGTTCTTGAGGACAATGCGACGGATCGTGGAGGAGTGTACGTTGATGATACTCGCGAGTGTAGGTGCAGTAGTGCTCGTAACGAGTCCGTTGATATGGAGCGAACGTAGGCGGAATGGAGGACTGCCGCCCAGTAGCTGGAGCAGAGGAGCCCAACTCTCATTGCGGATCTGATACTTACCGATACCCTGATCGCCAACAGACAAAGCCAATGCTTGGAGATTTGCATTGGTATTGATAAGCTTGACGAGGGCTGACATGTATGCATCAGTCTTCAAGGTGGCCATGTCGAGTTCCAGTTTCAATGACGTTAAGCCGCGTAAAGCAGGTGAAATAGCCTCGAAGAGCGACTTTGGAGTTCCCAGTAGCCAAGTCTGCCACTTCAACCCGAACCCTACAACCCTGAACTCTTCAAGCTGCTGTGGCGCACATCGTATGGTGTCCACCAGAGCATGCATGACCCTGTATATGGGAAGCGCATGCATGATATGGGTGTGTTTTGGTGAATAGGCTATCGAGAATTCGGGACGGAACCCCATAACACCCATTGCCAAAGGATTGGATGTTGAAATCACGGGGTAGCACAATTTGTCAGCCATCCCTTTCAGCGGGGGAGGTGCGCGAAGCGTGATACTCTTCAGATTCGGTAGACGCCGAAAGATAGCACTGAACAAGTTTCGCACGTCAGATTCGCTGAGCGTGGTTCCAATGCAAGGCGATTTCGCTGTGTCCATGCTTTGACCGTATCGCAAGCTCGTCGGTGACCGACATTCCAACTTAAAGTATATCTCGAGTGCGCGAATACGGGTTGCAAATCGTAAATGAGACAGGGCCTCGAGACGTTCGACGCTCGTGATAGTGAGTTGACATCTTCGGCTGGAAAACTTCGCTTCGGTCTTAAGGTAGGGTGGTTAGCGACTCATTAACGAGCACCTTGGAGTGAGATAGAGTACAAGCTAGGGAAAGATCGAGCTTTGGGTAAGGGGAGAAGGTACTTACAAGAGCATGATCGATGGCCTGTAATATAGTCCGACTGCCGAGCGCTTGTAGTATGCTCAGAGATTTCTTGTCGAGATTCTCAGCGATCATGCCGATGAGCTCGGTGGGTAGGTCTTCCAGACTTCTCCCAACTGGCGGTGATCTGTAGTCCGACATGAACACATCAATGTCTGTGTGATCCATGATAGCCCTGTCCTCGGGCGTAAAGCTGTCCTCGTCCATGTTGGATGGTGAGATGTGGCTGGAGGTGCTCGGGGTGAAAATAAAATGTTGCAGATTTTATGTGTGGGTTCGAGATGAATGGCGGTACGAGTGATGCGAGCGGTGGCTACCATGGTCCTGGCTGACGATAGGAAGGGCTATCTGTGGCACCACCCCATTCAACAAGGGAGCTGAACAGGCGCCCTGCAGCCTACATTCGTGTTGAAACAAGTGTTAGCAAGATCGTAATCCAACGTAGGCATCCTGAGTTGTTTCCTTCTATCTTTTATGTAGACGGGTGTCCAATTTTCCCTATGAGTGGGTGGGATAGAGTGGTACTGCTTCCCTGGTCCACAAAGGAGGAGACCCTTTCGGTCGCTACGTCCGATTTTTGGCTGACCATATACAGTCGGGATTTCGAGGGCGTTGTGTTCGTCATGGCTTTCTACGCGGATGTTCGCGCGCATCGTGTGCGGCGCAGTCGAGTTGAAAGAGGAGAGCATAGGGTGCTAGGGGATCATGGCGCTCCTAGTGCTCGAGTCGTGATAGAAAGTGCAATAGTAGGTACTAGACAAAGTACATTGCGATGAAGGGCATCGTGATTTTGGTGTCGACATGTTCAGAGACGTCGATGATGCCCAGGTGCATTCCGGCGCTACTGCGTAGCTAAGCGTCGCGTCGCGTCGCGTCCGGGGTTCGGCACAACACCTGCCGCAAGCTCCTTGCCTGCCGCCTCACGTGCGCATCCGGCACAATGCCCACAGATGCTGGCCCACCTGCATCCTTCCGTGTATCAGTGCGAGAGACTTGCATGTCTTCGGGTGTGAAATGCCCACGAGGCTGCAAACTTTACCCGGCTGTCTGTGCCCCACCCCCGCGATGTGGGGTTAGGCGTTGCGCGCATGCAACCCTCCGAGGATGGCTACTTTCAATGCTGCTGGCGGCGATGCCTGTTGATTAGCAAGCTCTGATTCATGTGTTTGTTCATTGGTCGCTTCATAACAGACGCGTCGTGCGAGCTGCAATGCATCCCTTGGTCTCAACTGTTGCTTGGAGCAGTCTTCTTCTGAGGAGCATTCCCAGTGAACACGATCAATACAGCGGAAAACATGGCGATAGAGCAAATGTTTGAGGCGTTGCCTCTACACTATCTGCAGCATGGCATCTCCAAGTTTGGTGCTGGCAATATCGCCTTGGCAGTCTTCTTGACCGCACTTTTAGGTGTACTTGCAGATTATGCTTGGATGCTGTATATGAGATCGAAGATGGTAAGAGCAACACACAGGATTTGATGATGGTACTAACGTTGAATAGCCCCCAGGGCCCTTCCCATACCCCATCGTTGGCAACACGTTCCAGCTGCCTGACAACAAGCCCTGGATTTTCTTCGAGGAGCTATCCAAGAAATACAGCACGCCGCTGATAACGTATTGGATCGGACGTAACCCAACCGTTTGGATCAACGATGCATGGACCGCAAATGAACTACTCGACAAAAGAGCTGGCATATACTGCTCGCGCCCGCGCATGCTTGTCTTTGCCGAACTCGGATCTGGCCAAAACAACCTCGTGAACCTGATCACTACTACGCAGGCGCAGCGGGAGCGGTTTCGGATGCTACGCAAAGTGACGCACCAGGGCGTTGGCATCCAGCAGGTGAAGAAGTACCGCGACTTCCAAAATGATGAGAGCAAAGTCGTCGCCCTCGATCTCCTGAGCACCCCCGAAAATTACGTCGCGCACTTTGAACGCTACGCGACCAGTGTGGTCTCTATCATCGGCTTTGGCAGACGCGTTGCGAGCCACGAAGATCCAATCATCACTGAGGTCATCGCATTGATGCACAGAGCGGCTGATCTGAACGTACCGGGCAAGACATTCCCTATGCTAATGGAGACCTTTCCGATTCTTGCTCGCGCACCTACGGAATATGCCCCATGGAAGCACGGCATGGGATCGAAGAAGAAGTCATCCCGCGGCCATGACTTCTTTTATTCGCTCGCCAGAGAAGCAAACGAGAAGCCAGGACACGAAGACTGCTATTCAAAGATGTTGTTTCGCGAGCAGGAGAAATACGGTCTCAATCACAAGGAGATTTCGGCATTAACTGGTAACCTGTTCGGTGCGGGGTCCGACACATCAAGTAGTACGCTCATCACCGCTGTTCTCGCCATGCGAGCGTTCCCAGAAACTATGCAGGCCGCGTGGGAAGAGCTAGATCGCGTTGTCGGAGAGGACCGTAGTCCTTCGTTCGAGGACGATGCAAACCTACCTTACATGCGAGCATTTGTAAAGGAAGTGTTCCGATGGCGATCAGTAGCCATTATCGGTGGACAACCACACGCTCCAGTTCAAGACGATTACTACAACGGTTATCTGATCCCGCAATCCGCATGGGTACAGGGCAACGTCTGGGCGATACACCATAACGAGCGTGACTTTCCTGAACCCGACCGTTTCAACCCGAACCGCTTCTTGAAGGACCATCCTGATTCGCGACCTTTCCCCGGCGAAAGAGGGTACATGACATTTGGTTGGGGCCGTCGAGTGTGCTCAGGTCAGGCGCTTGCGGAGCAGGGCACATGGCTGACGGTAGCGCGATTGGTCTGGGGCTTCAGGATCGAGCCAGCACTAGATGAGAATGGGAAGCCCATTTCGGTCGACATATTTGATTACACGTAAGTGTCTACTGGAAAGCGATCAGTATGTGAGATACTGACATCTGCAAGTAACGGTTTGAACATGCGACCGCAGCCGTTCAAAGTGAGCATAAAGCCTCGGAGTGAAAGGATACGTCAAGCTATCGTACGAGAGGGCGAACAGGCATTGGCAGACCTTGCGCAATACGAGGGTGAGACAAAGTATCGCATGAGTACATTCTACAAGAAGTAGATCTTGCCATGAGAAAGTAGTAGCCGGGACGGATTTGACGGTAGTGAGTGGTGGGCTGACGCATAGTCTTGGTCAGCCAAGGCGAATGTCCATCCAACTCTTTTTAACCGGTGATGCCTCCAATAAGGTTGATGTGGTCCCAGTACCAATTCTTTCCCAATGCGAGCCCCGACACTGAACTACCAGGACATGATGCTCTCTATCGTGTCCATGACGAAAATACCAGGGCAAGTGCAGTACATAAGACTCCAAGAGAAAGCTGGGAAGATCGTGAGCTGTAGGTTCAACATCAATGAACGTTGATGCCAGTCCGATGCGGGAGATTTTCGGGTCAGGCTCAAGATAGTATGAACGAGATCTCTGCGATTGCGGCAGTGGGAGCGGCATTATACGAGTAACGTGAGCACTGATATGGATGTATATAGTCGGTGCCTGTGTGATGGAGTCGTATAGTGTTTGGTAAGTTTTCCAGTCAACAATTTTCCCGTCGTTGAGCTCCGGCTTCACTGCACATGAAATTTCAGTCTTGTCTCGGGACAATCTGGCGTTGTCCAACATCTTCAACCCCCTGGCCCATCGTACAGTGCCTTCCCATCCGGTCCACGACCAGCTAGGAAATTCGACTCGTCGTCTAGCTGGGCTTTCCACATCCCAGCTCAAGTTGCTGACGAATCTTCGGTGCGATATGTTAAGCGGTGTTTTGTCCGACCCAAAAAGATCGTTGTCACAGTACGGCAGTCCCCAAAGGTGTCTGAGACCATTTGAGTGTCCCAGAGACGCGAAGATCCCAAGCATTGCATTCAGTACATCGCTTTCATATGTGAGCGAGCGCCTTGTGAACGCTTCGATCCGGCCGAGGACTGTCATAGCGTAGCCCTTGACAGATGGGAAGAGGCCTGGGTCTTGTTCTTCGAAAAAGTATCCAGTTTTTCCCCCACCACGACGCCAGAACATATGTTCGGGGGCTATCCAGCCTTCCATCCGAAATCTTTTTTGACATTCGAAATAAAGTTGAGTGTCGGTGAAGACAAGACGTCTAGTCGGAAGCAAGCCTTCTTGATATGTCCAGCCTCTCGTACTCCATGCCGTGTTCTCTAGGGTATCGTTACAAAACATGGGCGTGGAATCCAGTTTTCGCTGCCCAATGTAGAGAGGGTGGTTCACTTTACGTTGCCGGCTAACACCTGGCAGTCCGTAAGCCCCATCATATCCCGCCGCTGCGATGATTGTGAAGACAGACCCTGCATAGACCTTGTCCATTTGTTTGAGCTGTCGATGAAAGTCTTCTGAAGATTTCTCCAAGCAATATCTATCGACCCAAAGGTAGTCGTACCCAAGCATCAGCGTGACCTTGATGGCATCCTCGATAGTTCGAGGTAAGTTGCACGATAAGACGTCCGGCTCCAACGACTCAGCGCCCGCTTGCTGGCCAGGATGTTGTGCGTCCGGCTTGCCCCACACATAGCTCAATGTCACATACGACCCAGCTGGTGGCAGTTTTCCAACTAAGCGGTTTCTGCAGTCGATGACCTTCAGATTGTGTACGTTGGTATCGTACTTTGACTCGGTCAAAAACTGAAATTTGTGACATCCATGACCCTTTACGCATGACGCGATCCACTCGCGGGCTTCTGTGTAATCATCGATCAGAGGTGTAATTGCTCGCAGATTCTGACTGATGGGTCCATCCGGATCGAAGATGATGGAACTGCGGATACCGAACAAATCGAAGAGACTGTACTCCTTGCGTCGTTCAATACAAAGTATGGGTGCTTCGATCTTTTCGAGAAGAGGTGTTACTGCGACGTGAGATTGCACTGCGTTAAGGTTGCACACCCCGCCTTCTGGCACCTGACCCATGCTGCCGGATATGAATCTGCAGAGACTACAAGTTTCTGGCTTCAATCGAGTTATTTTCAAGATGGTTCGGACCGGTACCCCAGGGTTGAATCGAAGTGCATCGTCCAGATCGAAAGCTGCGCACTGCGAACAGAGGTTGTTAGGCGGTTCGACCACCATCGGGCTTTGAGGAAGAGGAGATAATGTCATGGTCCGACAGGTCTTCTGGAATCGCAGTCGACCCGCATGAGCTGATCTTGATTTGATGTAAATCTGAGTGTGGAATTGCGCAGAGGTGGAAGTGGAACAACTGCGCCCCATGCCTGCAGGACGCCTGCAACATTCGGTAGCCAGTGATACACAATTAGCTCAGCAACGCGACATGGGGAAACTTGGATTCGATTTTGACTGCAGCATCGCTGTTAGCGTTGAGCATAACCCCAAAGTGAAGAAAAGCTTCTCCAAACGCGCTGATGGGATTCAGACGTCTCTTGTATCTCCGGCATGATGCGACCGCTTGAGGCAATGGTGAGGATGGTGGAGAGGCCGTTCCCGATGCTATTGTCGCCTTGAACATCAGGAGCGTCATCCGTGATCAACGCCAGATCGAAATTTGCCTGTTACGGGCAGACCTGCTGATGTAAGCACGCACGTACCATCGCGTCATCGCGGTGCGCTGCCCTTGCAGAAACCGAAAACGTCTCCTTGTTGCATCTCGGTATCGTTATTGTTTATCGTGACCTGGCAACATTAATCGCACTCATGTCGCATGCATTGGGTCTAAACGCAATTCGACATGCGCGGTGTAGCACACTGACGACATCGATTGAACAACGATGAAGCAACCCCGCGCTTCTATCACTCAAATCTCGGCCAGGTCTTCACCCAAATCTATGATGGCGAGTTCGAGTTATCGAGGATGCTTCATTCACCATGCCATTTTCCGTCATCAGGAATAGCAGGCAGCTCCAACCGTTGACCGTTGGTAGGCTACACAGCAAAGTTCGTCTACGAGATCGTTTGAAACACGACCTCTCAAACTCCATTGTTTGGGCGCATTTGCTCCTGTTTTCGGCACTCATCTTTTGTGCGGCAAAGAAGTCATTTCTTTGTTGTAGTATGGGCCATTCGCTGCTCATCAAGACAGCGTTCTGCGCAATGGAAGACGAACTACTCACGGATGTCGCACCTCTAACAAAAGCTATCATCTTTTGTATCGATTCAGCTCTTGTGCCCGGCAAGCTAAATGGCCCCACCGTACGCAAATTTTTATAACTATTTCAGATATGATGCCAACGAATTTATCCATCAGAATAGGAATTGGACGACTGGTGAGTAGATTTGCTAAGTACAGACAAAGGTCACTTGCTTATAGTAGCCACTAGCGGAACGTATTCGGACAATTTCTACTATATGGACCGGGGATGGGAACGTCAAAAATTACTATGCTACTCAAACCCAGAATGCGGGTGGAAATTGGAAGGCGACCAGTCCTGGATTGCCGAACCCGAACCCAATACCAGTGAATCCATTCACGGTTGCAGATGTTAGCCATGCAAAGACTACGCAAACTATGCCTGCATCTGCACCTGCGACCGGAGCGAATGTTCTGCCTGTCGCCGCTGCTCCTGCATACGTCTCGTCTAACCTACATGACTTCTGGCCAAGGCTGCCATGGTCTGCACCGGACGATCCCGCTCCACCATTCCTTGACATGCAAGCGTTAAAAGACGATGTTGATTTCGTAAAGGAACATTGGCTCGACACTGAGCCGCGCATGCCTCCACCGAACGACAACTCTCGTTGGCATGGCATCAAGCTATTAGGATCTGGTAGCTATGGCGCAGCCGGCTTGTGGGCTGAAGCCGATGCAGCAAACAATATTCGTGACGTATGTATCTAGTCACAGACACGATCAGTGCCCTTTCCTCAGCGATAAGCTAACATCAACATCAGAGAATGGTGATCAAAGAAGCCAAAGCCTTCACACCAAGCCGATGGCGCGATCCCAAGAACTGGCGGGACCGATTGCCACAAGAAATACGTATCCACCAGCTTCTCGAAGAACGTCGTGTCGTGGAACCAGCCATGTGTCGTCATATTATCCGTTGCCGCGCACACCGACTATGGATGGAACATAGAAGATACAGATTGTATCTAGATTACCATTCGGGTGGCGACATGAACGCGGCAATGACATTTCATGCTAAAAGCTGGAAGGACGGGAAACCCACCGACGAGGACATATTCGTACCAGAAGGTTTCGTCTGGTATACCATCAAAGCGCTCGCGACTGCTTGTCTGGTGCTTCGCGAAGGCAACATCGATGACACCCCGGTTGACGGCTGGAGACCCATCACCCACTTGGATTTGCAGTTACCAAACATACTTTTGGATGTTTATACTCCACAGATTCCGGAAGCCAAAGGAAAGTCAAAAGCGGGCTCCTCCAAGAGTGCTAGACTCAACCGTGCCGACGCTGACGATTGGAGGGCTAGAGAGCCTCCCGTGATGCCTGTTCTCGCAGACTTTGGTATTTCCTTCTTCAGTCCGGATCGTGGCAACTGTCCGATTACCGACAATCCTGACGACTATGTCATCCACGAAACTGACACGCGATATCCTCCTGTAAGTACCTTTCCTTCTCCGAAACATCACTCGCTACGACTGCTAATCGCTCTTAGGAAATGCACCAACAAGAAGAACCGTACTATCTCGAGATGGGTGAAAGAACTGATGTTTGGGGCATCGGTCACATCGCATGGAGACTCTTATGTAATAAACAAGTTGATGCATTTGGTCCGATTCGTTGTGACACGAATCGGTCGCGCAGCACGAAAAAAGATGACCAGCCTAAAATTCCGTTAGCTCTTAGACATGAGCGCAACGTCCGTCCCAATGATGAAAAAGGTGTACTCGCAGAGAAGAGCACTGCACAATATACAGCTGGGAAGTACGGGCCAGAAGTCAAAGAGTTAGTGCGGAGGTGCTTGAACTTCGATCATAATCTCAGACCAACTCTGAAAGAAATCCTTGCTGAGGTCGATCAATCCTTCTCGGAGGACGACGTTTTGATAGACCAGGTCAGGGACAAAGACGGCCTGCAACTCATTCTGCCAGATACACCCGAGTTCGCCATTGGACAGCCAGTCGATGCAGCTAAAAGAAGGGGACGTGAATGAGACTTAGTCTGGCCACTGCTGTAGAACAAATGCAATCATCACTCAATATTAGCGAGTGCCGCCTTTACTTCGCCCTCCCGATGTCTCTCGCTACTCTTGGACCAGCAAACCCCAATCGGCCTTGCCGTGAGGCCTCCTGTATCTGCGCCGCTGCCTAATGAAGTCACTAACTGGGAAGTTCTTATTGATGATCGTGAGGACGGTACGATCTCTGTCCATTGATGCCAAACTCGGCTGTCATCCCATCATCTTAGTTGGCTGGCTGGCTTGTACATTGTCTTGTCTATCTTGTTGGACAGCTCCTCCACCGGTAAATTTGCTTCACTATGCAAGACAAGGTGATCACAGAGCTGTTGTCGACAAGCCGCCTCGTATTGACCGTCCAATGAAAGACTGAAGATAGGGCTCGTGTGTTGCGGAATGCAAGGGCTCACTGAAGCTGGGTACGTGATACGATACGGTTTACAGCACGCCATCAGATCTACTTGAAGCTTGAATGTTTTCAGACAGGAAGAAACGTCATCTCGATATCACCACACCATCTCTTCATGTCGCTCAACGCCAATGTCTCGGAAAGAAAGGCACGATCCTCGGCGCTTAAAGCTTGATTCAGGTAGAAAGATTCACTGCGGGCCTATCCGGCGTGGCATCCACGACGTCAGAAAGGTAAGAGCTACTACCCATTGAACGATTCAAGCGTAAGGCCAGCAAGAAGGTCTAAGACACAGATTATCCATGGAGAAATTGCTTCCGTCCACTGTACCCATCGCACTGCGGGGGAAACTGGGGTAATCATACTAAGCCGGCGGGTGGATACGAGGTATACTCTCATCGAAGGAGCGATATTCGCGCTTCGATGAGACATAAAGTGGAACTGTCAACCCAAGGCGTGCCTGATCGTCGTGTGTAGTGGTTGTGTTCAGAATCCTATAGGGCTTACGGGACGCCTTACCCGCCCCCAGATTTCGATCCGTTGCTTAGCCGTTGTTCCCGGGCTGACATGCTTGATTTGGATATGGATGCTCGCACGATGTTCGAAGGAAGATGTTTGGTAGAGCAGGGGAGAAGTGTATATAAAGACGTCGTTCGTCGGCTTGGAAGTATTCTTCATCAGCTCGACTCGACTCTACTCTTCAACTTCAACATCCAAACCAAGAAATCACTTTTCTCACACACGACCAATCCTCCACTTAACCATCACCATGCGTTTCGCTGCCGTCATTGCCGCCCTCGCCATCACGGCCACCGCTCTTCCTGCGACCTCTTTGGAGCAGACTGGAGCAGCTCTCGGTATGCTCTTTTCACATGAACTACCACGTCCGCAGAAGCTCTTGCTAACCACTCTTTTCCACATCAGATGCTCAGGCTGATGCTTGCGCCGACTTCGATGCATACCAGACCTGTACTGGAGCCTGCAGTGGGCTCGCCCCGGGCTTTGCCTGCGCTACCAATTGCCTCATCGCCTACTGCGCTTAAACTGTTACCCTTGGCGCTTAGAACTGTATTCGGGCGGCAAGCAAGGGGAAAGACCCTGGCTTCGTTGTTGGATGGGGGTAATCTTGGCCGTACTCTTAATTGTACTTAGGGTCTGTGGACTGGCCAGCCGTTCGTTGCTCGCATGCACAATGAGAATCTGTTAAAGTCAACCATGTCCAAGTGAAGTTCCATAGCGTGATGTTTCAAAAGAGAAAGTAGATTGTGTATAGATTGGTATCAAGTTGAGTACAGTCCCTTAACGCCAAAGTGCAACCCCTCATGATCCAAGAGAACTCGCCGTACATGACGCTGAAATACCAAAAGCAAGCCATTACACCATGCAATCCCGTCCCAACGTTATCATATCATGTCGTATCGTATCCAGCCTATCAGCGCCTTCCAAAGCCACCGGCCATCTGCTTCTGCACATATTTGGCGCCCTCTTTCTTGATGATAGGTAGGGCATAGTCCTTGAACATGCCCATAGCCTGCCTCTGCCACTCCGGCTGTCCAGGCTTTCCCGGCTTGCCGCCTCCACCTCTACCACTCCTGCGGCGGTCGTCGTAGCGATCATCGTCGTCGTATCGACTGCGCCTATCGCGACCTCCATCGTCATAGCGAGAGTCGCGACGCGGCTTGCTATTGAACATGTCGTCGTATTTGTTGTCGTAGCCATCATCGCGGCGTCTGCGATCGTCACGGGGCCTGTCACGGCGTTCGCGGTCATCGTAGTAGGGGTCCTTGTCTTTGCGGCGGCGGTCAGACTTGTAGCCTTCGGACTTGTAGCCGTCGCGGTCACGGCGCCCATCGTCTTTGGGCCGGCGAGGAGGATAGTGCTCGTCGTATGAGTCGTAGGTATCCTCGTGCCTGGGTCGGCGGGGGCGGTCGTCGCGGCGTTCCTCGCGATGCTTGCGTCGAGGTTGGGGTGGTGGAGATTCAGAGTCAGAGTCGGACGAGTAGGACGGTTGCCTGCGATGGCGACGTGGTCGGGCTCCACGAGGGTCACGTTCTTCTGCTGTTTGATTAGCTGGAATTGCGAGGCGCGCTGACAGGATGGCATACCTCTAGGTGGTGGTGGCATAGATTCAGGTGGTGGAGGTGGCATGCCCTCCATTCCTGGCGGCGGAGGGGGAGGCGGCGGAGGATAACCTTCGTGGCCTGGTGGAGGCGGTGGAGGATAGGCGCCATGCGGGGGCGGTGGAGGGTTGTTGGGATATGGCGGCGGCGGCGCATCGTCTACAGGCCTCTCCTTGCGAGAGCGGCGGTGATCGCCTCTTCGGCTGTCGCGGTAGTCGCGGTAGTCTCTCTTGTCGTCTTTGCCAGGCGCCCATTTTGGCTTGCCGTTCTCGTAGCTGTCAAAGCGGTACGTGCCCGGATCTGCTTCCTTGTCAGCGCTGTGCCGATTCAATGCATACTGGACATCTTACGTGATGGCGGCGGGGGCGGCTGCTCCGGTGAGGAATGTCTGTCTCTATCGCGACGACCCATGTTGCTTGCTTGTTGTAGCGGTCAAGGTGCAGGTAGTGGTGGAGTGTAGGTGTCCAGGTAGCGTGGTCTAACAGTCGGCGGCGAACATCTGACACTTAAAGCGCGGCTCTCGGCTAGGCCGCACCTCCCAGCCCAGTCTCACAAGACACCATGTCGTCATATGCCCTAATGCCTCAGCTCGTCGTGCACAAGTGCAAAATTTGCGGGGCTGCCGACGCATTCGAAGCTTCGCGACGGCGTGGCAGAGCTCAAGTGGGCTGTGTATGTAGGCTGCGATCATCGTGCATGGGCAGCACGTCTAGACGGGCCCACTTCTGCAAGCCATTGCCGTCCGCGATGCTCAACTGGCCAGGTTGTGCGCCTGAAGAGAAGGGCCGTTCCCCCGCAATGAAGCGTGGGATAAACTGAAGATCAGGGTCTTCCGGAGATTTCGACGATGGGGTATTGCTACGTGGTGTGCAAAGGGTGGTGCTGCCTTATGCTGATCTATCACACGCCCGTATAGACGTCAGGGGACGCTGCACTGCCCAATCGCTACACCTGCTGACTGACCTCGTTACCTCAGTCTCCATATCCTGACCTTGCCCACGATCACGGGAAGCGGTGAACTTCGATACCACATGCGGACTAGATCCCATGACTCAAGTCTTCGTCTACATCATACTCGGGCTTCAATCGTATCGCGACCGAATTTTGACTATTCGGCGACATCACAGTAGCTCACCAAGATCCAACGTCACCTCGTTCATCGAGCAGACTACGTCACACAAACGGCACGATGGTAAGAGCATGTCGATCAAACTATCACACTCATCTAGGCTTGATCTGAATTTCCACCAACGTCACCGTGGTTCAGAACATCTCGATAGCCTGAGGGGGCTGGGAACTAGACTGGACCTGCATAGAGTTGCAGTCTACACGATAAGCGTCTTAGCGGCCTCGCTCTTCAACGTACTACGTAGTAGACTAGATCTGATCAACCTCTGCTGCTGCTGCTCTCTCTTGTCTCTGCTTCCTCTCTATGTGTAGGCTCAGAGCAAGCTCGACCAATATTAACTGAAGCCGTCCAGACGGTCACGAGGAGCTCCTGCGCAAAAGCCCTTCTGAAGCTGCAAGAATTGAACTCCAGTGGTCCTGTCAAGATGTTCCTGGACCTCGGTAAACTACGTGTACGCCGTCTTGGTTCGGACGCGAGCCCCGGAACTCTATCTAGCTAGCTTTGTTGAGATATCAGGTACCATATCGCAATAATTGCTACCTCTATTGTGAAACAAAGGTTACCTGTTCACCTGCTAGCGCGACTGCAAGCCAGCAGATTTCATGTACAGTTTTGATATTGGTTGATTTCTGGCTTGTTTTTGGTTTGACGGGTCACCAATGGTCGCACCTCATACAAGGGAAAAACTGAACACCCTAGAGGCTACATCAAGAAGAAACCCTGCAAATTAGGTGGCCTAACGTCGATGTAGGCTCCAGACCTGTCCAGGTTTTCCCTAGGTTGACGTGGTCGTGTACTGGACTTGGTCATCCCAAACGACTATATCCGCTCCCGATACACTGGAGGAGCTGAAAATCTACTGTCGGCTACCTCGCTGAGAGTGGTGCTGGCCACGACCTTGAGGTTGGGCGTAATACCCGCGACCACGTAAGTTCGCGGAATCACCCCCTCGACTCTGGCCAGACGTGAACTGCCCGCGCCCGCGCGAAGGTGTAAAGTCTCCTCGACCATGACCAGGTACGAATTGGCCCCGTCCGCGAGAAGGTGCAAAGTCAGACTCTCGACCCTGACCGGGTGTGAAGTAGCCACGTCCGCGCGGAGCTGCAAAGTCTCCTCGGCCTTGAGCTGGCGCGAAATTCCCACGACCGCGAGGTCCGCTGTTGTAAGCACCCCTGCCCCTTCCACCACCCCTTCCTCGATTGCCATGAGTAGGGAGCGGCCAGAATGTTTCACGTGTCTCTCTGTCCACAGCCCAACTTCGTTCTTCCATCGTACGCAATACGATTGGCCCACCTTTCTCTTCCCTCACAAGAATCAAAGCTCGATTCGGCCGATTCTCTCGCTTCAGCACATCTCTCAGGCGTATAAGCAGAGCAGCGAGTTTCCTCAACGGTTCCTGCTGGTTCTGCTCCCATGTCTTCACCCTTACAGTTGCGACTTCCTCCTTGATCCTCGATACAACACCGGTACCTTTCTCGTAGGGAGCGGTGTAAAGCAACGATGTACGACCGAACCAGAGCTGATCTTGACATGCGACCAACCCTGATGCCAATGGGCTATAAGCCTGAGTTTTGAGCTCTAGTATCTGGGCTGTTGGTACGATATGGCCTTTTTGCAGGACCCGGATTGGCGCATTGTAATTGAACCTTGGAGGGTTCACGTGTGAGCTTCCGCTCACCGCTGCTGCTTCGGTCTGTGTGAGATCGTCGGGAATGATGCCGTCGTCGTATGCATCTGCTTCGAAGCGACAAACGACGTTGAGAGGACCCATTGCATATCGTATAGCCCGATAGTGACTCGTCGCATCCTCCATGTCTTCAGTTTTCTTGGTGAAGGCTCGCTCGAAGTTGAACCCGTAACTCTTCCCGTCTGAGCGTTTCCACCACCGTGACTCCCTGCGCACGATGACGAGTGTGTTGAAGACTAGATACAGATTGAGGCGGAGAGGTGCGTTGTTCTTGCCCTGAGCAAATTCCAATAACACACGGAGATTGTTGCGATCTGCGAGAACGTCGACGTTGTGGAAAGTGGTGTTTGGTGACATAACCCGGAGGGCATTGAACATCGGCAGGTACGGATTTTTCGGTTGGCGAGCGTAGTTGTAATCGTTGGAATCCCAGCCACTATCCCTTTCCACAGTGTGCGGCAGGCTTGGCGGTTGCCATTTTGCTGGCTCGCCGGGAACTAGATAGATGTGAGTCTAACAATACTCGAAATTTTAACTGGTAAACGCCTGGCTGGAGGTCATGATATACTCACCAAATATCGTATTGGTACCGTCTTCCGCAGCCTGCCAGTTGTAGCAACACAACAGCTCCGGTTCCTCGTCCCATGTTACTGGCTCTGGTACCGGGATGAGTGCGGTCTTTTCGATTGTCTCTACAACATGTCCTGCATCTCTTGCAATAGTGCTGTTGAAGCGCGCCAATTTTCTCCTGCGTTTCTCAAGTACGACTGGATCGATCACTTCTTCTTCAGGAATTTCCAGAATCGCATCCCCACCGTCCGAATCGGAGTCAACGCCATCTTCGGCCGCAATTGTGGGCTCCACAGCACTGTCACCCTGCAGTTGCTGCCAACTCGAACCACCCAAGGCCAGGGCAATTTTCGATTCGAAAGAAATGGCTGCCGAGTTCATGTCCGGTGGTGCAGAAGCCGCCACAGGATTCGGCTCGAGTATGCGCTGCTTTGGTGGATTGGCCTGCGAGTCTCTTTCTGGCGTATCTGACTGATAGTCTTCTCTTTCACGTTTTCTTCCACTACTGTCGCCTGGGCCACTAGTTCGCTCTCCAAATGCTTAGGAGGGACGATGAGCGGGAGGATTAAATTCAGGCGTGTACACAAACGTACCGTACATGCCGGCTGTTTCGCAGCGCCTTCCCAGCTCTTGCGCTAGAGGTTGATTACGCGCACGTTCAAAGGGGCTGTAACTTCGAATGGAGTAGAGGCGCCTTCAGACGTATTTGTGGTGAAGGGATAGGTTGTGTTGGTATGAAGAAGCTGGATAGGCCTGATTCAACTCTGTCTATCGGGTTGAATATGTTGGATTCAAGTAACAACCAACGGTAATATGGACGTGGTGGTGTGAGTAACGAGACGACAGATTGTAGGGAGCAGGGAGACGCGAAGGCCGGGGTGACGCGACTTGGAAGGCCTCGATGAGTGAAACTGGATTAGCGCTTCGGCTAACAGCGTAGCGCGTGTGATCCTTCGATCGTCCAAAAGCACCTCCAGGGCTGGACAATTCAGAATGTCCTCAGTTTCTAGATGCTCCCGATTATTGCACCCGCACTGTCATGTGTATCCGGAAGGGACACTCGGTGAGTTCGAGCAACCTTTACTATTGACCGCGAGACCCGCTTAATGCATTCGTCAGAAAACCAGTAGATTGAACATAGCATCGTAGTATTTTCAGGACTCCAGCACGATGTAATCCAGTACTATAGCGCCATTCATATCAACTTACAACTTCCATCCCCGCTTCTTCGAAAGCGCCGTCTCCTGCCTGACCGCCAAATCAGCAATGATTTCCTCACTGCCGCCGCCCACAACCTAGCACACGTTAGCATCAGCATACTATCCTAGACTTCACATTTCAAGGAATCAAACATACCATCATCCTCAGATCCCGACTAATCTGCTCAACAATAGCACCAGGCCCACCCTTCTGGTACCCAGCACCACCGAAGATCTGCTGCGCCTCGCGATTCGCCATCTCAAGTATACGACCACCGTGCACCTTGCACAGGGCAATTTGGCCCGCAATCTCCGGATCCTGCCAACCGAGCGGAGATTGCTGGATATGGTATGCGAGTTGTTCGAGCCATGCCCAGTGGCTCTCTACGTACCGCCCGATGGTAGCGAGTTTGTGCGCGATGATCTGGTTGGCGATGAGAGGCTTGCCGAATGTGTGTCGCTTATGTGCGTAGTGGAAAGATTCGCTCAGACAGGTTCGCGCTTTTCTGTTGCAGCCTATGCTCATGATGAAGCGTTCCTGCAGAGGTAGAGGTACGAAGTCAGTATTTGTCTCAGATGCATTTCGTACAGTCAGAACTTACCTTGTTGAAGTTGGTCATCACAATTCGAAAGCCTTCGTTCTCTTTGCCGACAAGACTGGATACAGGGACGCGAACATCGTCCATCTCCACGAAGCTTGCGCCTCCACCCTTTTGCCCTGAGTTGGGAATGCGGCGGTGTGTGAGTCCGGATGAGTCGGTGGGAATGACAAGGACGGAGATGCCAGTGGCGCCAGGTCCTCCAGTTCGAACAGCAGTCGTCATATGTGTGGCCCATGGCATGCCAGTAATCCATTTCTTGTACCCGTTCACAACGTAGTATTGTCCGTCTTCGGTCTTCGTTGCGGTAGTTTGGAGGTTGGCGACGTCAGACTACACACTCTAGTTAGCATTCTCTCAACCAGAAATGTAGACGTGTTGGGGAGACGGTATACGTACACCACCACCCGGCTCAGTAATGCCTAGACAGAAACTAGTCTCCCAATTAAACAAACCTGGCAACCACTTCTTCTTCTGCTCCTCGGTTCCATGATGTACAATGGGCGGAGCACCAATCACGCTGCCACCGCCCAGAGCAACGCCCACACCGCCCTCAATCCTACTATTCTCATCCGTCATGATCAACAAGTGGAACAAGTCCAAGTCGCCGACCGGTATGCCCGCAGGTCCAGGAACATTGCGTGGGCGATACGGTTCTGGCACGTCCGCGAATGCGTAACCAGTCTGCGCCCATTTGAGCCGTTCCTGGGCTGGAGCCTCGCCAGCTTCCTCCCAATCGAGCATGTACGGCTTTATGTTCGTGTCGATGTATGTGCGTAGCGCATTGCGTAGTTTCTTGTGCGACTCGTTGTAGTAGGGGGAGGCGAGGGCGGAGTACCACGACGGTTCGCTCCATGGGGCGAGGTTGCCAAAGGTTTCCTTCTTCTGAGGCTGCATTACGGAGGGAAGAGGCGTATCGGCGCGCGGCTTGGGGTTCGCCATCGTGTGTGCTTGGTGGTATTACAAGACATTTCCGTTGGAGTGAGAAGCATACTTAGGTATTGGACTACTTCGTAGTGGAGTTGAGATGCCGCGGCTGAGAGACGACGATCATGCTGACTCGCGTGCTAAACTGCGGGGGTGCGTAGCCGATTCGCGCGTCCCCAACGCGTCCGCCCTCAAATGTCATCTTGGGTTTCGCGCTCGAGCATGAAGTCTTTTCGCCAGTTAATACGGTTAAACCATACCGTGCAAAGCTCGAAGGTCTTCTTCATAATCACTCAGAAGACTCTCTGAGCAATCTAGAATGAGAAACGTGGTGAAGTCACGACAACATGATGGGTGGCTTTGAAGTGAAACCTGCGAAGCTTTATTACTGTCTCGATGCTATTTACACGGACTCAAGTCTTCCGGCATAATGTCGTTCATTATTATATTCCTCCACTCGTATCAAGTCGTCAAGACGATACGTTTACCTGACGCAGTAACCACCGTCGATGAGGAGATCGGAACCCTGATATTGTTAGTGACTTGAAGAGGTATAATCTGGACGTGTAAACTTACAGTGCAGTAGGATGAGGCGTCAGAGGCGAAGTAGACGTAGGCACCCTTGAGCTCGGTGGCCTTGGCGTCACGGCCCATGGGGATCATGGAGTGCCACAGCTTCTGGATGTCCTGGGGAACGAAGTCGGAGAGACCAGTGTCAATGTATCCGGGGGAGATGGAGTTGACACGGGCAAAGTCCCTCCACTCGTTGGCAAGAGACTTGGCAAGGTGAATGCAGCCAGCCTTGGCGACGTTGTAGGAGGCCTGCTCCTGGGGGAAGTTGGCAATGTGGCCGGACATGGAGGAGGTGATGACGAGGGAGCCGGTCTTGCGCTCGCGGAAGTGGAGACCGACGGCACGGGCGCAGTTGAAGGTACCAGTCAAGTCGGTCTCGATGACCTCCTTCCACTGCTCAACGGTAGCGTCGAGGATACCGTTGTCGGCAGTCTTTCCGGCGTTGGCGATGAAGACATCGACCTTGCCGAAGTCCTTGATGACATCGTTGACGAGCTTCTCGCAGGCGGAGTAGTCGTTGACCTGGCACTTGTAGGCCTTGACCTTGACGCCGTACTTCTCGCTCATCTCCTTTGCGTTCTTCTCGGCGCCCTCAGCGCGAGAGTTGTAGGTGATGGCGAGGTCGGCGCCGTACTCAGCGCATCCTCGGGCAGCCTCTGTGCCAATACCGGTTGGGCCGGAGGCACCAGTGACGATGACGACCTTGCCCTTGAGGCTGAAGAGGTCCTTGAGCTCGGTTGCTTGGGGAACGTTGATCATTGTGGCGGTTGTGAGGGTTTGTGAATAGAGTAGAAAGGTTTTGGGGTATATAGAAGAGAGATTGGGTTTGAGTGTGATGGAATAAGAAGATGGAGGCTGATCTGGAGGGGCACGGAGGGGTTCAAGTACTCCTCTGCGGCTGAAAAGACTTGATGGACAGCTTCACGCATTAGCGGTTAGTGAGGGGCGCTGGGTCGACAGTGACGTGTGGCTCGTCCTAACAGCTTCTGGACGTCATGCCACCGAGCGTGATTCGCCAATGGCACCAAGATGTGGACAGTCTGGCTTCGCTATTCCGCTGAGATCCTAGCGACCGACGGGGGTGGGTGGGTTGCTGTGACGTTCCTGCCCCTCTGTTAGCTTGCTCTACGGGAGCTTGGGCCGCCTCTTCGTGCCTTCCAGGCGCGTGAACCCATCGCATTGCTTTTTCTCCCACGCGTTATCATCGATTTCTCCGATCCCGTGGCTGACTTTTCCAATGCTACAACCTAATGACTTTAGGTACGCTTGTCTCGTGGTCTTGCCTAGGTGCCGCCGAGCTGTTGCATGTTCCCAAAGTGGAACCCCACGATTGATACACGACATGCGCTGTCAGCGATTCATGCTTTGACAGAGACATTTGGCCGTGTCAACCCGCGCGTCTAAGCTGCTCGTGCAGTACGAAGCCGCCACGCTGCCACTGGAACACCTTATGCCATGTTGAATGTCATGCACACCCACATGTGCTACTGTACTCAGCCTTGGCTACTAGTAAGCAAGGCGCTGTGCATTGCTAACTGGGAGCCTGGCAGATACAGTAATCGTTACTCAGCTCTTTCTTCTTCATCGAGGCATCGGTCGTCTGCTCGATCCTGTTGGAAGACTCTGACGGACCCTGCATGTAGCTGCAGGCGAACATGGTAGCAGCTCCGAGAATCTCTGCGTACATCGACATGTAGCAAGCGGATCCGATCGGTCGTAGAAACCTTGGAACTGCCGGCCTAGAGCGTGAGTGATGTTGCACGGCCGAAGGAAAACCGCGCATCCATGGAAGCTCCACGCATGCGGAAGCCGTCTCCCAACCATCTACGATCTCAACACGCAGAATCAACGGGGCTTTATTGTCAATATACATGACGTTGCCGGTATCCGCCGCACGCTGACTTAGTTTGCCATACTCCATCGGTCCCGCGCATGGCTGATGGGAATTTCATTTCTCCGATGCCGCAGACGCACGTGACACACTCGTCGGCCAAACCTCCAATTCCATCTCAATAGAAACCTACGATATCGTATCGGCTCGGCGAGCGCTGCTTGATCCAATATCAATGTCGAAACTGCGAACGTGTAGTCTTGTAGCACCTTCTAGCTAGATTAGCCAAGCACCTGCCACCGGGTCTGATGCAGCCCTCTGATTCGCAGCGATGCGCAGCCATGGGGTTCACCATACTTTTGCTCATGCTTCGCCATTGCCCCTGAAGGTCGATAGCTAACACGTAACATTCGTCTGCATCGTTCCAGACACATTCCCACACTTACCTCTCCGCAACCCGCAGGTCCGCAGCAATGGTGCAGAATGCACTCCTCCCGAAGCCCCTCCCCGCCGACGCCCTCGTAGTCGGCCAACTGGTTACAGAGCCCCTACACCCCGAACGCGACTCCTTCTACCCCGATAAAGCGCACGCAGAGGTCGACGATCTGAACGACTTCCACATCCAGCTCCGCTACAAAGACCTCTACTCAGTCGACACCGAAGGCCGCTTCACGACCAACTATGGCGCGAGGTTCGATCTCGGAAAGATATACAGACAGCCCAACCTGCTCACTGTCAAGGCTGAGCAGATGATACAACGGACAACGCAGTCATCGTCGAGAGCTTTCCAAGCCGTCTGCAACGACCCCGAGGCACGCATCTGGATGGCCGAACAGATCAAAGCGGGCAAGCCACTCTACATCGTCCTCGGCCTGACCGAGCTCAAGAACGCAACCTTCAAGCGCGCCAAATTGCGCGACGCAGGCGCCTCGAACCGCATCAACGAGACGCCCATCGAGAAGGACGCCAAGGTCCCCGGACCCCTCCGTGGCAGAGCGGAAGCCAGCTTGGGCGGAATCGGCACCGAGCCATCTATATCTGGTGTGTTTGGCATGGACGTACGCCGCGTTGCTGCGCGGCTCACGACGCCTGCAGAGCCACATCGGCTGGAAGATATTGACTACAGGTGGCACTACTACGACGTGCCCGGCTCGGTGGACAAGGAACAGTTGATGGTGGGGCTGGGAGCGCCGTTGAAGGCGAATGAACTTCGTCTGATGCTTGACCTCACAGACGACGACGTTCAGGGCAATCTTGACGCTATCAGCAAGCTCAGTCTGGACGCTCTGAGCGCTACGGCGAGCCCCATGCTTAAGCCTAGTACGCCGATGCTGAGAGGGCGCTCGCCTTCTCCTCATCCTACTATGCTACGCTCTTAGTGCTGTGGGATTGATAATGGTGGACACGTTTCGAAGTAGCGATTTGGGTTATGGATACGTATGATAGATTTACGACGAACGCTCTGACAACACATATACGACCTTGTACGGCCTGGCATCCCTCCGCTTCTTTCTTATGTAGTAGTAGTTATGCATCCGTCTTGTTTCTGTTGAAAACCGTTTGAGTTATTCCCATCACCAGAGTTCAAAGTCATAGCGGAAGAGGTTGTTCAAAGTGAAAGTAATCGTATTAATCAAGCAAGACAGACCTGCGCTTGCAGTAAAGGTATCATAAGACAACAACCAGCCAACCGAAAACGCCCCATATCGATCGTATATACGTAACTAAGCGTGGACATGGCCATAAACAGTGGACATCGTGACAGGCTAGCAACAACGCCTTGAAGAGATCCAAACGCCAATTGGGTAATCCAAGAATTTGTGGAGAAAAAGAGGAACGAAGCAGCACAAGTAAGCGTGGCTCATGATGCGGCGGCAGGTACCTCAGTCTGTGATGTAGTCTCGACGACAGTCTCGACAGCGGGTACTTCGACAGCAGCAGGAGCAGCAGCGACCTCTTCGGCTAATGTTGTCTCTTCCTCAACAGCAGCAGGTACGTCTTCAACAACGACACTCTTCTTCTTCTCCGGCGTCACACAGCTAGCATCGAATACGTTTGACAGACGCGAGGGCTTCTCGATTCCAGCATCGACAGTGACGTACGAGGTAGCGTCACAGCCTTCGGCATAGAATTCACTTGGTGCAAGGTCACCCAGTGGCCTCCGGTCCTCCTCCATGGCATCTTGGACAAACTTGCGAAGACGAGGTTGCTTGACAGGCATATCGGCTAGGATATCAGTCTCGTAGCCGTCGTCTAAAGACGAAGCGTGGTTGCGCTTGCGAGTTTGCTGAGCGAGGAAGTCTGGTGGTGGGACGTTCTCCTTGCCGCGGTCCTCGTTGCTGGCCTTGGTCTTTGCGTCATCGTCGGATGAAATGTCGAGGACAGATGCGGAGTGCTCCATAAGGTTTGCGGCTTCCTGCTCGGGCGTGTCCTCGTGGATCTCGAAGAACCAGCTCTTGGGCATGCTGTCATCGACGATTGGGGTCTGCGGGGCGGGTGCTGAAACAGGCGTGGCGGCTACGGTAGGGGCCTTGGGTGTGTAAGTCGAGATGGAGCCGCTGAGGGCCGCGTCGATGGAGAAGGGTAGGCTGGGGCTGCTCTGCGTGAAGGATGGAGGGTCGACGCGTCGGAAGGGCGAGCTGGATGCGCGACGCTTTGAAACAGCATGGAGACGCTTGTTCTTGGGCGAGCCGCGGCTGGTGGAGATGGGCGTTGACTTGGCAGTGTTGGGTGACGAAAGTGCTTTACGCACAGACGGGACGGAAGGTGTCGCGTTGAGGCTGCGGGCACTGGGCTTGGCAGTCGAAGTGAACATGGCCGGCTTGATGTATCCTGCATCGCTGTGGCTGGCTGTCTTGGACTTCTTGGTTGGGCTGTTGAAGATGGACGGGTCCACGTTCTCGGAGTCGGCATCTTCGAAGATCTCGGGTGCGCGCTGGCGCTTACCCGTCGATGGCGTAGGAATTGACTTCAGGCCCTGCGGAGACGCGAAGTTCGGTGTGAGAGCTGTCGCATACGCGTTTAGTTAATGCAACGGCACGTGGAGTGAAGCTATTTACCATTTTGCCTGTTCTTCGCGCTCTGGAGTACCTGGAGGCGTGACGAGCCAAGCTCGGCAAACGGCTGGCGCGTAGAGGTGGCCATGGTAGAGACTGTCGGTGATGTTGCGATAGCGATTGAAATGATGTGAAGAAGGTGTATCGGCCCGAAAGATTAATTGACGCGATTGAGGTATGTGGGTAGTGGTGTTGTAGGTGATTGTCGTTGGGACGGAAGGTGCGAAAGGTGGGGTGGTTATCGTATCTCGTTTGAGCTGGAGCGCGCGACTAGGTCCAAGGCGGCAGACCGAAAACAAGAACGACAACAAATGTCTCGACTACGACTCTAACAGTGGATAGAGAAAGCTGAGTCAACGACAGAGAACTTGGACACGATCAAGTCTGAAGAGAAGAGATGGGAGAAAGAAGGATGCGAGACTGGGTCATGAAGCTATTACATGGGCGCACTCAACGCGTCCCCAGTCTCCCTCCAACTTAGCGTGTCCATCACGCACTTAGGGGCCGCCTCCCACAATCGCGTCCGTCTTCTCCACTCAGACCAGGATCATGTCCCGAAACTATCATGCAAAACTGGTTTTAACCCTCCAAGCCCCGGCGTGTAACGCAGTCCATTGGCCAGGAAGCTCCGGATCCACCTGCAGTGTCACTTGCGCCACCAAAACGCGACTTTGCGCGCTCGCGATATGGACGTGAACGCTGGTTCGATTTTGCGCGTTCATCCCGGGCCTTGCAGCGTGCTGAGGCATAGTACGTGCAGTAGAGACGCTGTCCGAGGCTTCTTGTACGTTGGTCTGCGTTTGTCTCTTGTCACAGAGATGTCATGGTGTCATAGGTGGTTGGCGACCTGGTGAAGTCCGGACCATCTGCTGGTCTTCGAGCATCGCGTTGGTGTTTCGACGCGCACCTATATGCAGCGGGGTTCGCTCTGCTCGACGCGATGAGGCAGGATGCACGCGAATTTGCTGGATCATGCATGTCGAGCTGACTTTCTGTTGGCTTTCCATGCTGACTGCTGATGCGCATATTAATTGCCATGCAGCCCTTGAGTTATAGCAGATTGGCAATCCCGTGGAGCATTTTCAAACTTGCAGCTAGTGTTTCCGATGATTCTGTATGCTCTAGCAGTTGATTCAGAGTTTCTTTCCATTGCGATGTCTCCGTTTGCTTTTTCCTTTGCAGTCACGTCGCGTCGTCGCGCCTTTCCGAGGTCTGCTTACTCCCAGCCATCACCACTTTGCCTTGAAGCCCTGCTCCCCGCGCGACTCCCCACTCGGACTGGAATACCACCCCAATTGTCATTTAAGTATGTCGCATTGTCCTCATCGAAGCCATTCGCAAAATTCCCCTTGCCCTTATCTCCGTCATCCCAGTCATCACCATCGCCATAGTTGACATGAGCGTTTTCCCCATTCCAGCTCGTTTGACTGGCGGCACGACTATCAGGCCACCCGGTCGCAGCATCAGGCTGATGGGAGTATCGGCTCTTATGGCTAGCCTGACTACCAGCTGCCCAGCCTGATCGTCCATCCTCCCAGCCAGTAGTTTTTCTGTGTCTGTTATTCTTGTGGCTAGTACGGGTGTCGTGACTTCGATGAGACCGGTGTGTAGACGGCTGACTGGAGACTCGACTTTGATTCCCTAGAGATCCGCGCTCACTATCTGTGCCGACGACACCTGCATCACTAGTCCCTTTACTTATTTCGAAGCCATCCCATGCAGTATTGCTTGAAGGACGCGTTGGACCGCCGACACGTGAAGTCGTAGCGCTGTTGACTACGTTCTGAGAAGTAAAGGGTTCAATGCCAGTCCAGGCAGGATTGTCAGCGGCTTTAGGCCTATTGCTCCAGCTTTTCTCGCTGGAAGATTTGGTGCTTCCCCATGTATATGGGTGAGGATTGTTTAGAGGTGAAGCCCATCCAGCTGTTTTGTCTTTCTCTTCGCTGTTCTTCTTGTTGGCATCCCAGTCACGAGAAACGTTGCTCTTCACACTGCCTCCCCATCCAGTTGCAATGTGATCTTCTTTCTCTCTCGAAGAGTCACTGGGCGCATCTTCAACTGTAGGCGCTCTGTAGATCGAATGGCTCTTTACCGAGATATTGTCGAAGTCTTTCGTTGACTTTCGTGCCTTGCCGCTCCTACTGGTATGGTGCGATCTGTCACTCTTGTGTGAATGACTTGGACTGGCAGCTTTCCACGCACCCTCAAACTTCCCTCCGTCCCAAGACCTTTCTGAACCTGCCTCACGATTGTCCTTAACTGGAGACAGTTCGGGAGACGGCCATCCTCCAGGTGGTGAACGCACAGGTGATGATCTCTTCTCTTCGACCCATGAGTCCGACTTTGGAACAACTGGTTTGTAGCCCCTTGAGGCTGGTGTGACGTATCTGAATCCCTCACTGATAGTCTTGAGCGGTGAGCCTGGGGCGATGTACTCGTAGCCATCGCTCACTGATATAGCTGGAGAGGCAATAGATGTAGGCTTGCTAGAAGGCCAGCCAGTGGCACCACCTGTCATCATAAACCCCGTTGGCGACCCTATATTCTCGCCATCATAAGGCAAGTAGCCGTCTTCGTAGACCGACTCAGGGATAGGCGTGAGGGCTTTTGGTGGTGAGTGGTGTGATTGGCGAGACTTCTTATCCTTGTCCTTCTTTTCACTTTTAGTCTTCTGCTTCCGGCTGTCGCCTGAGGGTTCCTTCGACGGACGGGCCGAGTTGCGATGTTTCGGTGGCGATGGGGCAAATGAAGTGCGAGCAGGGGAGGCTGGTTCGATCGTTGATGCTGCTTTGACCCACGGTCGCTGTTGCTCACTGGCAGCCTTTGGTGGTCCAGAGTCGAACTCTCCGTCCTTGTCCACGACGATAACCCGGCCATCCTCTGCTTTGATGACGAACGTCCCCCATTGAGGGGGCATAGGAACCGTAATTGTATCCTTTTTCTTCTCTCCTTGTCCGCCAGCTGTCTCGTTCGTACCCTGATTGCGATCCGGTTTCTTCACCTCTAGTCCACCTAGGCCTCGGATCTTCTCCAAATTCCGGTGTATGTCTCCACTAATCGCCCTTTGCATGTCTTCGTTCCACATCGTACCTGCACCATGTTTGGGCTCTGGTCGTTTTCTCTGCTTGTAGAAGCGAGTATCGATTGGGCCAAAGCCTGGGGTTGCTCCCGGAGGAAGGTGCATGTCCGCGCCGTCATCGATGAAACTGCCGGTATAGGCTGAGGTATCTGAGCTGTTGCTAGTAACCCACTTCGCGACATGGCCGTGGTCAAGCCCGCGGGGCGTGCGCTTCGTGAAACTGCCGCCGTCATCGACGAAAGATTGGGGGGTTATGGAACTCATGTCTGCATTGTAGTCGTATGGTTGGAGTTCGGAAGGAGCGTGGGATAGACGCTCGCAAATGTATGTTTTGCAGGCAGAGTTATTTCGATTTGCAGATTTGCGTACAGCGGGGCGGATGAAGAAGCGTCGGTGTGTTGAGGGCTTGGATGACGGCATATCCAGAATAGTGGCGCAGAGGTGAAGGTGAACAGCCTTTTGCCTGCTGCATGATAGACACACAACGACAACGAAAGTACGATATGCAGAGCGACGAGACATGTTTGCAAGACACGACAGACACAGAGACATATTGAGAGACTTGAAAACATTTACCGTGACACAGCGCCCGTGCTGCCAATTGCTAGAATACCTATGCGCACATCCAACAAACACCAACACGCACCAGCACCGACCCTCTGTTACCCTCGAAGCAAAGGCATCTGAGTCAACGCATCAACCCACCTCCTATAGCTTCGCCTTCTCCCGCTTTTTCTCCTGTTCCCACTGTAGCTGCACGTTGCGCATCCTGTACCAGCTCAACGCGCCAGCCATGGCTCCAAACGGCGGGAAGGCCCAGAGGAGGAAACTCCACCATCGCGGGCTGTTATTCCTGACGTCCTGCATGACTCTCTGTATCTCCTTCTCTAGGTAGCTCCTGTCGTGGTCATTCCAGACTACGACGCCATTTCCCGGACCCCTCCGCAAACAGCGCTCGGCCTTCTCGCGCACGTCGCCTTGACTCATAACACGGTTGCGCGCATCCTCTTCGGTAAGGTGAGAGTCGCGATCTCGCAGGCGCTTTATCTGTATCGCAGGGTCCGAGACGCCGACGACAAGAATGGTACCGCAGTAGCGTTCCCAGCCACTCTCGAAGAGGAGAGGGACGTCTAGCACGACTGCCCAGTTGCCGCGCAGATAGGCCCACACCATCTGCCTGTACATCTCCTTGCGCACGGCAGGGTGCACGATGCTGTTCAGCTTCTTCCTGTCGCGCTCCTTCTCTTCTCCGCCGCCAAAGACTCTCCGCCCCAGTGCTGGCCGGTTCAGCGGGCGTCCTTTGGGTGTCGCATCGGGGAGGAGGAGGTCAGGCGTAGTAGGCAAAAAGTGTTCGACGATGGCATTGTAGCCCGGGGTGCCAGGTTCGACAACTTGTCGCGCGATGAGATCGGCATCTACGATGGGGAGCGAGTAGGGCGCCTTGGAGAGGATGGACGACACGGTCGACTTGCCCGTCGCGATGGAGCCAGTCAGACCGAGGAGAAGCATCGTGAGCTAGGCTTCTATTGGCGAAATGGTGTTTATGTCTGTAACTGCAAGCCCGGTTATAAGGGCTTGGCTGTTGATGTTGCTTTCACATGGCGGGTGCGTGAGAGATGGGATGACGATTGCGGGGACCAGATAGTTCGTACCTCGGAGGTTAGCTAGCACGGGCCTCATAATCAGTCCATGGTTCGCATTGAGCACTGCTTACTCAAGAGCTTCATGCAATGAGACAGTGGTATGTTGTAACGGACGCATTCTGATTCATGTTTCTACGGAACTTTATTCGGAAAAGAATTCGAGAAGGATATCACTAAGCTGTTGCGCCCAACACCAATCTCATGTTCTCACTTTGCTCCACCACCACTCCGTTATGATCAAGGTTCACGGCCGCTACGAAGGCGAGTATCAAGAACTGTTTCGTCTGCGAGTGTGTTCCATGGAGGAGGATCAGAAAGCTCAGAACTCTCAGAACGTCTAGAAACCTCTTCTTCTGAAGCCTCTCCCGCGCTGTCAATCACCTGGGAATCAAAGGGCGGAGAAGGCTCCTCGGGTGCCGAAGTCGTTACCGCATCCTGCAAACACCCTTGGGTTAGCCACCTAGAAAGGAACAGGTCTAGAGGATGAGGGAGCTCAGTCTGAGACCTCTCCATGGTTCACAGTCTTGTTAAGCGGCTCGACAAGTTTGCGCGCAGGGCGGAAGATCTGCAGCTGGTTGTCCTCGGCAGCACCCATCATGAGCCAAGGGTCGTTCTTGTTCCAGTCAAAGTCGCAGATTCGGTTGGTGAATCCACCGTGCATGAACAATCTGTGAAAAGTTAGTACAAGAGCCGGACATAGGTTCGGAACAACTTACAGCTCAGGGGGCCCATCTTCTTGCTCATCCTCCGTCTGTTCAGAGCCTATCTTACTGAAGTCCCATAGGAGGACACGGCGATCGTAGCTAGAGCTGGCAAGGATAGCAGCGTCTTGCGGGTGCCACTGCAGACCGATGACATCTGAGCGATGGCTCTGCAGGCTGTGTATCTTCTTGTCGATGTTGCGAAGATCCCAGATTCCCACCGATTTGTCGGCAGAACCCGTCGCAAGCATCGAATCGAACTCGGGGTGGAACGAGATGCAGTTGACCGCGTCTTCGTGGGCTTCCTTCCTGTACAGCGCCTTCTTGTATGCCTCCTGACGAGTATCGATGACTTGCCAGGTAAGGTCGTCTGACGCAGTACCGATGAGCTGGTGGTGGATTGGGTGGTATTGGACATCGTTGACGGTTGCGCTGTGGATGTTGTATGTTGCCGTCGGGCTGATGGTCTTGCTGTTCTTAGAGAAGCCACTCTTGATGTCCCATGTCTTGACTGTAGTATCTTCGTTACCAGTCACCAGATGTCCTTCTTTCAAAGGACTCCAGCTCAAGCCAAAGCCCTCTTTGCTGTGACCCACAAGCTCCGCCTCGAACTTGACGGTGTCATCCTTTGGTTGCAACGGATGCTTAGTCCGGTCGAAAATAAGCACCTTGCCATCGACACAGAGCGACGCTATGATATCGGGATTCTGAGGCTGGTAGCGGGCCTTGTTGACCTCGCCGGGGTGGTTGATCTTCTGCACAATCTTGAAGTCAAAGGGTCGCTTCGCATTGCCGTGGCCGCCAATCTCTCCCCGCTCCTCGTTGAGCTCGGTAAGGTCTGGAACGCGGGCGTCTGGTATCTCGCAGTGGGCGATTTGGAGGTAGTTCTGGGCTTGGTTTGACGTATGGGTGCCGAGAATGACGCGGTGCTGGCTCATGTTGGTGCCTTCGACGGGTTTCTTGTCCGGCAGCCATTGTGTTGTGAGCGTCGGCCACTCGAGCGCGCGGCCGTACAGCATATCGTAGAGGAAGACACTGTTCTTCTTCCACATCTTGTACTCCTCGTTGATGATCTTCTGCTCGGTCTGTTCTTGGTCGTCCATCTCGCGGGAATCGAGAGCGTCTGTCGGTGGAATTAGTATCAGGCGTTGGGGCACTTCAAATAATTTAAGAGACGTGGGTGACTGTAGGAATCCGGTAGCGAGCTTGGATGCCATGCGCCGACTGTATCGATGCGAATGGTAAAGCGAAGCTTGCTGTTGGTCGGCATGACGCTGTCGCGGACCACACTTTCCAACAGGAAATGAACTTACCGCTCATAGTCTCGTCCATAATGTGCTTGCGATCGTACTCGAAGTCACGGGCAAAGTGTATTGTATGGAATGCTGCGTGTGTAAAGCCTGGAAGAGGCACGACGCGCTCCCAAAAGTCGCGTTTGGACCAACCCCGATGTCGATCCCTTAGCGCCCCACCTGCTTGGCAGTCGCCGCCAGCATATCCATTGCGTCGATGAGCAAGACTCCGACTCTTTGAAGACCCCAGCGTCGAGAACCACGACCCCATACTCTCTCTCGCCCTCCCGCCCACAGCGCCTCTGCGCGCTTCTCTCTATTACCATCTTCCTCCCTGTCGCCCTCTTTGCGACTCTCACCCCGCCACTTGTACACACAAGGTGCATCGCCGCCTCACCACCATATCCATCTTCAGCTATTCCTAGACAGTAGCAGTCATGGGTGTCCCCAAGTTCTTTCGATGGATGTCCGAAAGGTATCCCGGTATTTCGCAGCTCATTGCCGAAAACCGCATTCCCGAATTCGACTGTCTCTACGTAGGTACCCGCGTGTCGCAATTGATGCGCCTAGCTAACAGTCACAGCTTGACATGAACGGTATCATTCACAATTGCACCCACAACGATTCCGACAGCGTCACGGCGCGCAAGTCCGAAGATCAGATGTTCATCTCCATCTTCAACTACATCGAGCACTTGTTTGGCAAGATCAAGCCCAAGCAGCTCTTCTTCATGGCCATCGATGGTGTCGCCCCGCGCGCCAAGATGAACCAGCAGCGTGCACGACGTTTCCGAACCGCTCTCGATACTGAAAAGGCTCGGGAGAAGGCTATCCGCGAAGGCGTAGAAATGCCGACGGAGGAAGCGTTCGACAGCAACTGCATTACGCCAGGCACTGCCTTCATGGCGAAGCTCACGCAGCAGCTCAAGTACTTCATCAACAAGAAGGTCTCCGAGGACATAGATTGGCAGGGCGTGGAAGTCGTACTGTCTGGTCACGAGGTCCCCGGAGAGGGAGAGCACAAGGTCATGGAGTACATCCGTCAGGCCAAGGCACAGCCGGGCTACGACCCGAACCGCCGCCACTGCCTGTACGGTCTCGATGCCGACCTGATCATGTTGGGTCTGCTCAGCCACGATCCCCACTTCAGTTTACTGCGTGAGGAGGTGACGTTTGGTCGCCAAAGCCAAACCAAGTCCAAGGAGTTGGAACACCAGAACTTCTACCTCATGCATCTCAGCATTGTGCGAGAATACCTGGAGCTTGAGTTCCAGGAACTGGAAGAGCCCGGAGCTCTCAGCTTTCCGTTCGACATGGAGCGTGTTATTGACGATTTCATTCTTATGGCTTTCTTTGTTGGCAACGATTTCCTTCCCAATCTTCCACATTTGCATATCAACGAGGGCGCCTTGGCCCTCATGTTCAACGTCTACAAGACTGTCCTGCCCAAGGGCAAAGGATACATCAACGAGGAGGGTGTCATCAACATGGAGCGCTTGGCTATCTTGTTGGATGAACTCTCAAACATCGAGTACCGTCATTTCGAATCTGAAAACTCCGACGCCGCTTGGTTCAAGGGTAAGAAACTTGGAAAGGAAGATGTAATGGTGAAGACGGCCAAGCGAGGCACGATTGTTATGACTACCCAACAGCAGGCTCTATTCTCCAAGGTAAAGAGTTGGCTGGGCGATTACTTGGAGAAGAAAGAGCCAGCCCCGCTGGACCTTCCTGTATCTCTTCCTGCGGAGGACAGAAAATTTGTCCAGGAACTTGCCGACAAACTACATCTTCCATGGAAGACTGTACAAAATGACGACGGCGATCGCCATATTCAGGTTACAGCTCCACCCAAGCTGGTCGAGGGTGATTCTGACGAGGAGGGCGAGATGGACGACGAATCCACGAAAGCCATTGTACGTGTCGTACAGAAGTACGAGCAGGCCAAGGTTGTCGACATCTCACCCGAAGACGCCCAATCGGAGATGCAGAAGAAATACGACGAGAAGTTCGACGCTTGGAAGAATGACTACTACAAGAGCAAATTCGATTGGGATCGCAGTAATGAGGAGGAGCTCCGTAAGCTGACGGAGAACTACGTGCAAGGATTGCAATGGGTTCTTTTCTACTACTACCGCGGAGTAGCGTCATGGCCATGGTACTATGGCTACCACTACTCGCCTATGATTTCTGACGTCAAGCGGGGTCTGAAGGCGGACATCAACTTTAAGCTTGGACAGCCGTTCAAGCCTTTCCAGCAGTTGATGGGTGTACTGCCCGACCGCAGTAAGAGTATCGTACCGAAAGCGTACCATCCTCTCATGACAAACGAGGACTCTCCCATCATCGATTTCTATCCCCGAGACTTTACTCTCGATATGAACGGAAAGAAACAGGACTGGGAGGCTGTTGTCAAGATTCCGTTCATCCAAGAGGACCGTCTGCTCAAGGCCATGGCCACCAAGGAGAATGACTTGACGCCAGATGAAAAGATGCGTAATTCATTTGGTGTTTCTCTCAAGTTCACATACGCCAAAGATCTGGATTTCGTGTACCAGTCATCTCTGCCAGGCGTTTTCCCGGACCTTCCCCACTGCAAGTGCATCGAGAACATATTCGACTTGCCGACTATGGAGGGACTGGAGTACTACATCGGCCTCATGGACGGTGTTAAGCTGGGAGCCGAGGCATTGGCTGGCTTTCCCAGTTTGAAGACTTTGCCATTCCATGGCAAGCTGGAGTTTGCAGGCGTCAATGTTTTTATGCAAGATAGCCGGAACGAAAGCATGGTTATCACACTCCTTGATACAGAGCCACGACAGTCTGTCTCCCACGCGCAGGCCAAGCTGGGCAAGGCGGTCCATGTTGGTTACCCTTTCTTACACGAAGCGAAAGTGGTCAAGGTATCGGACGAGTTATTCGACTACGTTCTGCCCGAGGATGGCCCATCTCCCGCACCTGTTGCTATTCCTCATGGTCCACAGGAGATCTCTAATTGGAAGAAGACGGCCAACCGCATCGAAAACCAGTACAGCAAGCGCCTCGGTATCAACGTCGGAGAAATTGAGTCCCTCGTGCACGTAGAAATGCTCAAGGGACTTAGGAAGACTGACGAAGGAGCCACCATCAAGGAGTACGGTGAGGTTGCTGGGCTGCAAGTGGAGTACGCGACCCAGACAGTCGTAGACGACGTCTTCAGCGCAGACCCTCGCTTCCTGGAGAAAGAGGCACTCCCTATCGAGGAGGAATTCCCCGAAGGAGCACGCGCATTCTATCTCGGAGACTACGCCTATGGCCGTCCTCTGCAAGTCGTCAGCCATGCCGACAACAAGGCTACAATCATGGTCGCCAAGCTCAAGAAGCAAGAGCCGCATTTTGGACGTGAAGTTGTCAGCAAGGCTGAAAGGTCAACACCCTATGTTCCGTCTTACGTTGTGGCCAGGCAATTGAACATGCCGCCGCTTGCATTGTCCAAGCTTACGTCCTCTTTCAACGTCAACTCAAGTGGCCTCAAGCTCAACCTTGGATTGAACCTCAAGTTCGAGGCGAAGAAGCTCAAGGTGTTGGGCTATTCTCGTAAATCAGCCAACGGATGGGAGTACAGCCAGAAAGCGATGGACCTTTTGGCGCAGTATATGATCAAGTTCCCAGAGTTTGTTGCCGCCATTATCAACAACCCGACAGGTGATGGATGGGAGGACACTGACTTTTATCCTCCCGAGGTTGCAAAGCAGAAGGTCAAGGAGATTGGAGCCTGGTTAAAGAGTGTCCAGACCAAGAACTTTGAGAAAGTACCCTTGGACGCCGAGCAGCTCGACTCTGATACAGTCAAGCTCATCGAGCAAGCGGCTGACGCCAATTTCCCACTCACACAAGAAGTGGAGCCCAAGACCGTCGCCAAGGTGCCACGTGTTGCCTTGCTGAAGCCGTCTGACGCGGAGCAGCGTCTTGGACACCAGAACTTTAGCATTGGCGATCGCATCGTCTATGTTCAAGACTCTGGAAGGGTACCAATTGGATCATCTGGTACCGTGGTTGGCAAGACCCGCACCGCACGTGTTTTGCTGCTGGATGTTGTGTTCGATGCTACTTTTATGAGCGGTACATCGCTCGGAGACCGCTGTTCGCCATTCAGAGGATCTACTGTTCCAGCAACTGCAGTTCTCAACATGACGGATCAGCAGGTCGTCCACTATTCCAGTGCTGCTGCCGCGAAGCGCCCACAACAAGTACCTTCATCGTACAACATGCCTCGCTTCGGTGCCCCTGGGGGTCCTCAGCTCGTTCCAGCGGGTACGCCAGCACCTCTTCGTGGGTCATACCGAGGAGCATTCGGAGGCGCGAACGGACGGGGTGGAGGCTTCGCACCACGCCAAAGCCCAGGACCACAGCAAACCCAAGGACAGCAGCAGACCCTCCCGATTCATGGCGGACCACCTCGTGGTGGCCGTGGCGGATTTGCGCCCCGTGGTGGACAAGCAAATGGCCAGCCCGCGCAGAACCAGAACCAAGCTCCAAACGGCGGCAACGCTCGCGGTAACCTCCGTGGTGGCTCAGCAGACTTCGTTCCCCGTGGACGAGGAGGCCACAAGGGCCGTGGTGGCTTCACTGTCATCGACAACACTGACCCCGCGGAGGGAGTTGTTCCTAACAATCCGAACTTCCAGCCGCGGAACTACTCGAATGTGCCACCACCGGCCAATCTAGATGGCGGACGTGGTGGTAGAGGACGAGGCCGTGGCCGTGGCGGATTCCGTGGGCGTGGAGGCCCAAGGGGCGGCGCGCAACCTGCTGCACAGTAGAGTCTTCTTCTCGATCATTTGAATGTCTGTTCGGTATTGTTTGAGCGTTCCAGAAAGTAGGTTAGCGTGGCGTTGCGGCGTTCAGCGTGAACACATCTGGGAGGAATGCATAGACGATGCGCGTACATGTCAGGGAAAGAGATCATGGGTTGGGAAGATAACGGTGGATGGTAGGATTGGTGTAGCCTGATACCCATATTGAGTCGTTGGTAGCAGCATCAATAAGATCAAGCTCATTCGAACATGTGTACTTGTGACAATGTCCGCTCGTCTGACATGAGATGGTGAGACGGTGGTGCACTAGCGTCAAATAGGTGAACCCTGGTCTCATAGGGCTGAGCTCCGACCTCCGCGCAAGAGTCCAGATACGTGTTAGGACCACCGAAGGCTACCTCTCCGCGCCCACGTACACCAATCTTCCCTCCCTCTCGTGGCCGACAGAGGTTGATAACTGGGCTCTGCGCTCACCCCACACATTTCACAATGCATTCGACGCTTGTTCGTCTCCAGAATGTCTTTGGCTTCTTTACCACAGTCGCTTTCACAGTCGCGAGCATCATCGCGCTGAGCAGCTTCGTCTCCCCGCAGAACCCGACGGCCAGTATATCGCTGCGCAATGTGCAGGTAGTGAGAGGCCGGCCGCACTACTACTCACCTAAGCGGGAAGAGTATGCGCATGTCAAGTTCGATCTAGACGCTGGTACGTCTCTCACCCAAGTCGCAATCACGCTGCGTCCAAGCATTCAAACACCTTGACTGACACCTCCATGCAGATCTCAGCTCCCTCTTCAACTGGAACACGAAGCAAGTCTTCGTCTATCTCAAGGCCGTCTACCCCTCCACCCGCGCCTCCGAACCCCCCTCCGAAGCCATCATCTGGGATGCCATCGTCGCCTCAAAGTCCGCGCCCTGGAACCAGAACCACTTCATCCACCCCGACCCCAAGTCCAAGCTGCCCAAGCAGTCCGCCAAGAAACGCGCTGCATCCAAGCAAAAGACCGCGTCTCCCTACCCCGTCGGTGAACTCCACCTCGATAACCAGAAGCCCAAGTACAAGATTACCGACATTACGGGCAAGCTGGGCAACAGGACGGACGTCACATTGGAGCTGGGGTGGAATGTGCAGCCGTGGGTTGGCGCGCTGACATGGACCAACTGGAACACGGTCGGTGTTTGGAAGGGTCTGGAGGGTGGCAGGAGCAAGGCATTTAGCTTCCCCGAGGTGGGCGCCAAGGCGGCGACGCCCAAGGACTTGGAGACTGAGAAGGGTGCTGAGGGATACAGATTGGTTGTTGGTGAGGAGGTGCCGCTGAAGAAGGCTGCTGTTTAGGGAGACGGCGATTACGATACCTGCGAAAGAGCGGATTGGAAAAGGGGATTATATTTGATACCAGATACGGACTATATTATGGAACTTGGTCATTACGGAAGGATGCTGAACGAGCTTGATCTGATACTGGCACAGTCCACATGTGTCCAAGCGGTGCCGTGATTTTAGTGCAAGAGCATAAGTTCAATTTGACTTGGTGAAACCGACCAGTTGCCATTTATGAAGATGGCCATGATATGAGATTCTTCTAAAGTGGAGGGAGACAATGTGTTGGTAGTAGGGAAGGCATGTTCGGGTCAAGGTCGGACCTCCGATCTCGCCGCAAACCGCCACTTTCAGGTCGTTGGATTTCAAAGCGCGCTCCACAACCCTCAATCACTCACATCATGCGCCATCCGCGACACCCTCTACACCACCCCTCCTGCCGCCCATCTGACGACGCTCCGGATTAATACGATAGTTTGTGGGACTCGAAATCGCATACACCCCCCTACAACGAACCACTTCCCATCAACGCCCGTCAACGCAAACCCCACCGACCCCCGCCGTTCATAGATACCCAGGCTATCAGAGCCTCCGTGTTCGCGATGCCTCTCGAAAACATTCGCAACATCGTCCTCGTCCTCTCCGGCAAAGGCGGAGTCGGAAAATCGAGCGTGACCACGCAACTCGCCCTCACGCTATCGCTACAAGGACATTCGGTCGGTGTCTTGGATATAGATTTGACGGGTCCGAGTATACCGCGCTTCTTCGGTATTGAAGATGCGAAAGTAAGACAGGCGCCTGGTGGGTGGATACCGGTTGATGTGCACGGCGAGCAGACGTTGGCGGCACACCAGAAAGAAGGAGAAGAGGCGGCTGCAGGCGAACAGAAGATTGGCCCGTTATTCTGCATGTCCCTGGGATTTATCCTGGCTTCGCGCTCCGATGCTGTCATCTGGCGAGGCCCAAAGAAGACCGCCATGGTGCGCCAATTCCTGACTGACGTCCTCTGGCCACCGCTTGATTACCTCCTTATCGATACACCACCCGGTACATCCGACGAACACATCTCCCTACTCGAGACTCTTCTGAAGAACACTACACCGTCTCCTGCTCTCAATCCGCACGTCCCGTTCTTGGCCGGCGCCGTCGTGGTAACAACCCCACAAGCTATCAGTGTTAGCGACGTGAAGAAGGAGCTGAATTTCTGTAAGAAGACTGGAATTAGGGTACTAGGCGTGGTAGAGAACATGGCAGGATTCGTGTGCCCCAACTGTTCGGAATGCACAAATGTCTTCAGCAAGGGCGGCGGAGCGGTCATGGCGACGGAGTTCGAAGTACCATTCCTCGGCTCTGTACCCATCGACCCAGCCTTTGTGGAATTGGTCGAGAGCGGGACGAGGCCAGTGTATCCCAAGGGTACTGTCATACAAGGCAAAGAACTCGACACTGAAGAGGTCGCAGCTCTTAAGAACAAGGGCGGTCTTTTTGTAGATAAGTACCGGGACTGTTCGTTGGCGCCGTTATTCGACGAGTTTGTGACAAGGTTGAAGGGGGATATCGGAAGAATTGTATGATCACATCGAAGTGGTTGATCGTTCATAAAAGGAATGGCGGAGTGAAGGAAGAGATATGATCGAAGATGTAGAGAAGAATAGATACCCCTCCCTATCTCAATGATCTAGCAGTGCTGGTGAGTCTTCGCTTGCCCTGGGGAAAGTTCAAGGAACGCTGACCTTCGCATAGTCCTCAACATCCACTTTCCGTGCTTCGCCATTATAGGGTCCTCTTCATTCCTACACGTCGTCATGACAACGCCCTGCTATTTCGTCATCTCAGCTCAGGTGACTGTAGCACTCCTGCTCGGATACCCGTGAATACGTCTCGCTACAGCGAATCAGGAACGCAGTATCTTGCCGACAAGTAAACATTGCTCATAGACATCAGCAGTCCTCCCTTGTGACTCGCCAGGTTCCAGTCGCGGTCGTCAGTATCCGTCCCGTACTCCACATCCCATGCCTCATTGGTACCGTGGGCTCGTTTCGATAGAGCAAACGCGCAGCTGCGAGCTTATAGGTGAGAGAGCGCTTAATTATGCTTCCAGGTAAAGTTGAACGTAGTTAATTATCTGCCAACTGTTTTGCGGGCTCCATATAAAGCCGCTACTGTCCACAAGTAAGGACTCACAGTCTTTCGTCCTACCTACTACGCCCACCAACTTTTTAATATATCATAAACACCGAAAACCGACTGGTAAGTGACTATCGCGACCCTGGGATTGCTCGACAAGTACAGCTTCCAGCGCAAGACGACAATCAGACTCCTGCAATACTGACCTCGCAGGCTGCAAGATCGCCGACACTATGGACGCTGCGAGCAATGACACCACATCGCCAGACCCTCATTCTACCGCGGGCAGTCCGCATCGGACAATTCCGACACCAGTTCAAGAACAGGACCAGAGGAAGAGTCCTGAGACCAAATTGCGTCAAGGGCCCGGTAACGGCGCAGACCAACTCCCGAAAGGTAACTCCGTTCCTATCACAATCAACAGCAACGAGATTCTGACTTCTGAAGAAGAGCCGAATCCAAGCGCAAAACCGCAATTCATGGTCAAGCTGAAATACAGTACCAAGATTCCTGTGACTTCTCCACAAGGTCACCGAAACATCAGTAATTCCTCTTCTACTTCTCCGGAGTTGCGCGCGACTCCGGGTGGATCAGCTAAGCCATCCATCGAAACCGCCATCGTCAAGCAGGAAGTCGAAGACCATGAAGCTACTGCACCTCGAAACCCAAACTCGACCTCGCCACAAGTCAAGATCGAGAAACAGAGCGGTGAGCAAGGCTCAGCCCTGAAGCCCCTGAATGAGCCCACGGGAAGTTCGGGTCAGTCCATTATGGTCAAGGACGAGCCTGAGCACGATGCACATGAAAATGTCGACAATCGAAGTCAGGACCTGATTAGGGATGCTATGAGCATTGATGGTCAACTTGGCGACGAGTCAATACAGGTCTCGGTCGAACATGACACTTCTGGCAAGCCCTCGGATGCTCTCGGTGTCCAGGCTGCTACGTCTGAACCCGAGAACTTGAAGGGGACTGCGGCCGTGGAGGTGCAAGATGTCGATGACGTCAACGGCGGCTATCAGCAGAGCGCAAACGGACCATCGATCGCACGTGATAACGACTTGTCGTTTGTCGCCGACACCAACATGTCTTACCCTTTTGATGTAGACGAGTGGGCCTCCATCGCCACGAACCAAGCCGAGGCGGACGCAGCCAGCGGAGCCCGACAACGCCAGCATTACCAACCGATCGACCACCAGGCCATGTCGTCCAACTTTACATATCAAAAGATGAATATGCGGCCAGACGATACAATCGATCAAGAGTCTCTGGCCTTTCTTAGTGGCGAAGCTGAAGCTGGGGTACCGTGGAGTCAACGTCAACACGTATTTACGGATCCAGTCCGCTTCACCAAGTCTAGTTCACCCTCAATTGGTAGCGCACGTGCACTGAACCCAGCTGCCATCCTCCAAGGCCTTTCGCTGTACGGACCGCATTCATCCCGCCATGGGTCGCAACAGCCCGCTGGCAAAAACCGCCAACTTGATATCGACTCTGCCTTCAATCGTCAACAAGAGCTTCAGGCCCTGGTTGAGGAGAAGCAGAGACAGTTGGATCAAGTCAAGAAGAAGCAAGCGGAGCGTCAGCGATCGACTCGACAGGTATCTTACGATTCTGCCAGTTATCATGGCCAGCCAGCTGCTGTACCTTCGTTCCTCTTTGGCCCAATGAGCTATCAACGAGCCTCTCCGAGCGGCTCTCAGCAGATGAACTACGGACAGAACAGCTCGCATAACTGGACACCAGACCGTCGCACTACCCAAGTCACCCAAAAGGCACGAAAGCAATTATTCAACGAGCACGACTGCGACGACGAAGAGGGTAATGCCTCCGATGATGATGAGCCGCTTCGGACGCGGGTGGAGCGTCACCCATCAGTCACTAGCCTGAATGACGACTCAAGCGTCGAGTTTGTCGCGAGCAATTCCAAACCCAAAAGCAGTGGACCTATCGTCGACCGGAAGGTAGTGCGCATGCCACGCCCTCTTCCTCAGCCCGCTTCACCCTCTCCCACACCCACAGAGAACGCGCCACCTTCCTCCGACGACATCCAACAAATTGATTGGACGCTTCCCCGATATGAAATGCAACGCCAGCCTCTCGAGAAAGGCGAAGATATTCCTAGCGCAAAGGTCTCACTCCCTGGTATGGTCCGCGAAGAAGTTCTCCTCTCCCCGGACCACGCAGACGAAGAAGCCCGCCTACTGATCGATGTCTTCATCCCCGGTCAGCAAGCCATGTCATCACCAGACCCAGAGCCCGCCGTCGCTCTTCTGAACTTCCACACTATCACTATCATGGTCATAGAGGCGTACGTCCAATTCGAAATTGGCGACGAGTTCGGCATGGGACGAGGCCACTTCCACCAAGACCACAACCGTGGCGAAGAGGACTACGAGCGCATGCGCGACGCCGTGAATGCCGATACCAACGAGATCTTCTTTGCCGTCGTCGACCGATACCGAGCGGGCCTGGAGAGCAAGAAGAAGCCGCTACAACTCATTCGCGGCACGCAGGAGTTCTGCGACGTGGCGCTTGATGTAATCTATTACATCAAGCAACATGGACTGTTGAAGCCAGAACCCAAGGCCAAGAAGGTTAGGGCTGATAAGGGAACTAAGCGGGGGCCTCAGGCGAAGACTGCGGCAGCTGAAACTGCGGCGAAGGGTAAGGGTAAGGGGACTAAGAGGGGTACGGCGGCCAAGCCGAATGAGGTGCAGCCTAGGAAGAGGGTGAAGACTGCGCCCGCGGTCGAGGTCAAGAAGAGGAAGAGGAGTAAGCCGGAGCCGGCTCTTACGGTTGTGAGGAAGTGAGCGATTACGCTGAGAGAGTGGTCAGTGGCCATCTATGCTTTCAGCGCGTGGGTTGAAGAGAAAACAGGGAGTTGGTTATGGGGATATGGAGTCTCATTTGCGGGCTTTCACGATCTGTGCAAGACGATGCACTCGTTCATGGTTTTGGTTTCTCATTTTTCCATGACTCGCGTCTTATAGACCTTCCCTTCAACATGCATATCCCAGCTTTCTAAGTCTACTTTAATGACAGCACTTCGGTGAAACGCGATAAGCCGGAGGATACGTATGATCTTTCCCATATTCTAGACGAAACATAGACCGAATGTATCGTTCGCTCATCCTGCCCTGCCCCCATCGAATCGCCGAACAGCTCGCTTTGCTCTACCATGCAACTTATCCAGAAACTCCTCTCGAGACAAAGGTGTCCTTTGGAAAGTCAGGGCTACAGCCTCCGACACGCCGTGCTCGTCGCCCTGACGTGTGACGTTTGCACACTCAGTCAATAACTTATATTCACCACTCTTGACGTGGAAAAATGAACGGAATTCCAAGCCTCTGCAGAAGTCACTCATAGCCGTCATTGTATCCTGGGATTGGCATTGTCCCCAGTGAATGGTAGTCCGGCGCGCCTGGGGTATGTGATGTTTGATCCAAAAGTGCAGGTGACGTAAAGCATCCTTGTTGAAGGGAAATGTTGTGTTTGCGATTGCTGTGGAGATGTTGAAGGTGATTTGCTGGAGCGGCAGGCGTAGCAGCGGAATCCTGAGGAACAATGTATCCGGATCATGGAACTCGGGGAAAACCTCTGGAATGACAACAGTAATGTTGGTAGGGTCGATGGCGGGTTGTATCGTGAAATAGAAGCTTGGTTTGCGAAACCATCGTGCATCATGGGCGCGAAAGTACCCATCGGCAGCCTTTTGGATCTCCTTTTGCACTTCTTCTCGAATTTGCTTGCAAATGTGTGTTAGGTCGTTGTATATTGATGGTTTGGGGTAGACAACCAGTTGGTCTTCTGGTAAGAAGTATTGGTACACCATGCAGCGGAGCTCAACGGGGAGGTCGAGGAAGGAGCGTTCATCTCGGCGCACGGCGGGAAGTGACGAATGAGAAGCGGCAAATCTAGTGTAGTCGCTCTGCAACCCTATGTTGTCGCTATTATGACCCTTGGAAGACGTAGAAGCCATCTCGAGGGAGTATCCAGTATCTGTATGCGTATCGTAGTCGAAGTGTAGAAGTCGAGTCGAGGTGGTGGCGCGGGATGGGTACAGGCAGGACGCATTGAATCAATCTAAAAGGTACACAATGGAATAACAGAGCTTTTTCTTTAGGCAGACGTAGTAATCTAGCTAACTTGACGTCACAAGATGAATGAAGTCCGCTATATTTGCTCGAGCGTCAGGGCCTGCTGGGCATTCGCTCCCCGCACTTCCTTCTTCCTTACGTTCCTTAACGTACAAAAAGGCTGGAACTATATAGAAAGCCAGAATTCATTACATATAAATCACTCAACCATCTACTCAGGTTGAAGATCACTCACCAACATGACAGAGCAAGCCGTGGCAGTTGCTACCCCGGATGGCCTCTCACCCACATCTCAAACCAACAAACTCATGACGCCAGCTCCACCCGTCGCACTTGATGCGCCCAGTTGCTTTCTTCAGCTGCCTGCAGAACTGCGGTTTCTAGTATATTCATATCTTTCGCCATACTTCTCGACCGATCGAAAGCACTTCGGCAAAGCCCAGCACCTCGACCTCATACAGACATGTCGACAAATCCGCGAGGAAGCACCACCGGAAATTCACAAGGCCGCTGAGGGTTTCTACCGTGACTACGAGAAGAACTGGTATAAAATATACAGCGAGAGCATTCACATCAAGAAAGAACTCTCTTGGGACTGTGTGAGCGTGGAGAGAGGATATTTCCTTCGAAACCACGATGTTCCGCTACACGAACTACCTTTCCGACAAGTGGATGTCTGCGTCCCCACAACCAGAATGTTCAACTTGCAGGTGGATATCTTCAATGATATTAGCAGACAGATGCTTGAACCAAGGCCGAAGGTGCGGTCTTCAAGGGTTTGCTTGATAATAGGCGGAAAATGGTTCTCGGAAGATTGGTTGATTTGGTGGTGGATTCGAGCTTAACTCTCGGGAAAGACTCGCAAATGGAGAGAGGCGCAGCACCCGCGTGATGCTCAAGGTATATAAAGCACTAAGAGAGGGACAGGCTGGAAGGGCCTTCGGAAGTACGAAATGGGTCGTGCGCATGGGGCATCATATGGTATCGAGGGTAAATTATCATAGGCAAGAACGATGTAAGGTTAGGGTAGACTATGTCAACGTTTCATTGTGACACTACGACAACTTCTAATATATCATCGCGTCATCTACTACTTCTTAGCATAACTGTGGTAGTTATCAACGGGAGCAACCTCCTTGACGCTCTCCCAAATCTGCTCAATGCCCTTGACCGCCTCATCGCTAAGCTTGCCCTTCTTCAAGCTCTGCGCAGTCTGTTCAGCCTGAGCAATCTTGCTAGCACCGAAGATGACACCATCTTCGTCTCCCTCAAGCGCGCTGTGGTAGGCCATCCAGCGGTATGCGAGTTCCGCCTTGGTGACACCCTCCTTCTCGGCAATCTCGTTCCACTTGATGAGCGCCTTGCGCATGGTCTCGTTATCGTACAGCTTTCCGTACATGTTACCCATGGCTTGCTCGTTGAAGCGTCCGGCGCCTGCATCGAGGTCTGCTGCGGTCTTAACCAGGAAGCCGCCGGCAAGGGGTGAGTATGCGTAGAAGTGCATACCGAGCTTGCGGAGTGTGGGGAAGAGCTGGGTCTCCAAGTGACGGGCAACAGGGTTGTAGTTACCCTGGTAGACCTGAGGGAGTGGGTAGCCCTTGGCCTTCGCGATGTCGTAGACTTGCTGAACTTGCTCGGCCGAGAAGTTGCTGAGGCCAAAGCGGCGGAAGATGCCCTTCTTGTACACCTCGTTGATGCCCTCCAGGGTCTCCTCAAAAGGAACGGTTGGGTCTGGAGCATGGATATAGAAGATGTCGAATTGGTCGATCTTGGCACGCTCAATAGATTCCTGGCAGTACTTGATCACAGTGTCCTTTTTGAGTTCACCGGGCGGACCAAAACCGCCAGGGAGCTTGGTGTCGATAATGAAGTCCTTGCGCTTCTCGAGCTGGCCGATGGCAACTTCGGATCCAGCATAGAGACGTGCGGAATCGATGTTCTTGACGTCGTTTGCAAGCAAAACATCGATGAGTTTGGCACGCTCTTCTTGCGTGTTGAAGTACGCAGTGTCTGAGAGCGCAGCTCCTCCGAAGACTGATTTGACCATGGTGATGGGTAATGGAATCCGAGATTGATTCGTGGGGGTTGGTTTGTGATGTTTAGAGTCAAACAAAAGCTTCAATGCGTAGAAGAATTGATAGCGGGGAAAGCACGAGCGATGATGTTGATGATATAACCGATGATGCAGGGGAGGAAGCCGCGGTTGAGCTGTTGATAGTTCCTTCCCAACACCCCTCTTCCGTTGACTTATATACCTGATGCAGCAGGCAGCAGCTCGCGTCTTTCTCCCAAAACGCCGAGCGAGCCAGCATCCACATTACAAATGTTCACATTCGCCAGTCGTCCGATGATGCCACCAACACAATGCGTATTCTTGGTTAAGGCGTGCTCCACTTATTCCCGACCCCTCTTCGGCAGGACTTGCACAAAGGCCCCGCTCAACCACTACCATGCATGTGCGTACGGAAATAACGGCCAGACAGTTACACCAGTCACGTGTTCATTGTGCAATTCAACTAGTAAACATCGAACGAATGCAAAGTTTATTCATGTATTTGGATACAGGCGATGGCCCCATGTGAGATTTTGCCCTCACTTCCGACACAGACATACCTGCGGCCTTGGGCGGATCGCAAGCTAAGCCAACTAGTGATACGTACCTTTCTGCATGGGTCGAGTGGTCCGTAACGGCGGACGAATAGTCAACACCATGACAAGCTAATTAGACCCAATACTCAAGGCGACGTGGAATCACAGAAGGATCTGGACAGTATCTGTTGCCTTGTCGCGCAGTCTCAGTAATGCATTCTAATCTTACAAATGGTGAAACATCTAACACGCATTTCCCTAAAGCGTATGCTCACTTCTTGCGAAATCAACGTGCAACGTGACTACCGATCAGATCTGACAAATACATCGTATGGACGTTCTCGTCCGCTCGGTCATGTTGCATTAGAGGAACGATACCCTCCTTGCCAGATGCGCAGCCTACAGAACGTGCGTACAAGTTGGATGAGTCGAGTGGAAGTTTGGTAGAAAGAATGAACGTGTTGCTGCATGTGCTCATCGAGATAGAAGTCGAGCCGAAGCAATGATGAGCGATCTGTTAGCCTTACAGTAAACTGCTGTCTTTAGTACCGTACCGCATCGCATGATCTCTCTTGTTTACGCGCTTACTACCACAAGTGAAGCGCTTAAAAACGAGAAATCATGCGATGCGACGCGGTGCTGATCAAGACTAGTACATTCTCTTGCAAAGGGATTACGATGGCCCGGAGGCCATGTCTGTCCAGCCACCATCCGCTCTCCAAACTCCTGCTTTCGTGTAATCCCCCCTTCCACCGCCTCTTATATAAGCGAATCGAAAGTATTCGTTCACGCCTTCCATGTGTCTAGTCCAAGTCCAGCTTTCCTCCATACGGTCAGCGTATTCATGGTACCTTTCTACATCGTTGACCAGAACGCTCATTCCATCATAAGGCTCAGGGAATGGGAAGTGCCAATCGAAGGTGATGTTGGGTCTCAGATGATGGAGATTGAAGTTGTTGTGGATGATAGGAGCAGTGATGAGTGGGAGTACGGTCCCGATGGGCGCGTCACCACGAAGGGCGCCAGGCGTCTCGAGGATACTGGCAAAGCCCCAGCGTGCGGTCCCGTTGATGAAGAGGCCGATCAAAATACCTTGGAAAAGAAGTGAGGGGCGTGTTTGCATG